CAGGTTAAATTTGGTATTTCCTGCATATTCTCCCAATCCTTGTGTAGATTTGTCTGTACCTTTTCTTCCAATACTGATTGTCATATTTCTCCCACTTTTGGATGCAATCGTGCGGCCCCTGACATCATGATAGAATTTTATCTTGAAAGTCTCAAGTGAAACATCTCATTTGTCAGTATTTACCGTGGGTCAGTCTGTGTCCTTTAGCATATATTAGTTTACACATCATCAAAGCCATATCATGTTTCAAAACACTATACTGTTCACCTTGTTGACTTTTACATCAAAACAGAAATAGCAAAAGGTATTTCATAGATCTGAAGGGCCTCAATAAACTAGCATGGTTTCATGTCCTCTTGAATGTCAGGGGTCACCAAACACTTGTACCTAATGTCGGTGACAGACTGTGTAATGTTTCAGCGATGGTCACAGAACACTTGTACCTAATGGCACAGACAGACTGTGTAATGTTTCAGCGATGGTCACAGAATACGTGTACCTAATGGCGCTGATGTACTGTGTAATGATTCAGTGATGGTCACAGAACACGTGTACCTAATGGCCCTGATGTACTGGGTAATGTTTCAATGATGGTCACAGAAGTCTTGTACCTAATGGCCCTGATGTACTGTGTAATGTTTCAATGATGGTCACAGAAGTCTTGTACCTAATGGCGCTGATGTACTGTGTAATGTTTCAGTGATGGTCACAGAAGTCTTGTACCTAATGGCCCTGATGTACTGTGTAATGTTTCAATGATGGTCACAGAAGTCTTGTACCTAATGGCGCTGATGTACTCTGTAATGTTTCAATGATGGTCACAGAACACGTGTACCTAATGGCGCTGATGTACTGTGTAATGTTTCAATGATGGTCACAGAACTCTTGTACCTAATGGCACTGATGTACTGTGTAATGTTTCAGCGATGGTCACAGAACTCTTGTACCTAATGGCCCTGATGTACTGTGTAATGTTTCAATGATGGTCACAGAACACGTGTACCTAATGGCGCTGATGTACTGTGTAATGTTTCAGCGATGGTCACAGAACACGTGTACCTAATGGCGCTGATGTACTCTGTAATGTTTCAGCGATGGTCACAGAACACTTGTACCTAATGGCGCTGATGTACTGTGTAATGTTTCAGCGATGGTCACAGAACACTTGTACATAATGGCGCTGATGTACTGTGTAATGTTTCAGTGATGGTCACAGAACTCATGTACCTAATGGCGCTGATGTACTGTGTAATGTTTCAGTGATGGTCACAGAATTCTTGTACCTAATGGCGCTGATATACTGTGTAATGTTTCAGCGATGGTCACAGAACTCTTGTACCTAATGGCGCTGATGTACTGTGTAATGTTTCAGTGATGGTCACAGAACACGTGTACCTAATGGCGCTGATGTACTGTGTAATGTTTCACCGATGGTCACAGAACTTTTGTACCTAATGGCACTGATGTACTGTGTAATGTTTCAGTGATGGTCACAGAACACGTGTACCTAATGGCGCTGATGTACTGTGTAATGTTTCACCGATGGTCACAGAACTTTTGTACCTAATGGCGCTGATGTACTGTGTAATGTTTCAGTGATGGTCACAGAACACGTGTACCTAATGGCGCTGATGTACTGTGTAATGTTTCAGCGATGGTCACAGAACTCTTGTACCTAATGGCGCTGATGTACTGTGTAATGTTTCAGTGATGGTCACAGAACACATGCAGCCATGAATAATTGTTGATAAAGGTGTTCACATGTAGCCCTGTCATAGTGAACCTGACACAACAGTTTCCACCAAGACTTCTGGAAAGGGAAGCCATGGAACAGATAATGTCAAATGTTCCGGAGATGATATCATTTGTGGGATATAGAAATATTTCTCCAGCTGGGAATATTGTTGCAGTGTGTGACTTCAGGAAGCTACTATTGACTTGCTGGTTCTTCAGTTCATGTGTGTATCACTGGTCATTGACTCACACACAATGAAAGGGAACACATTGTGAATATTTTTACACCTGGAGAAGAGATCTGATTTCCTTCACTCCTTTAGTCATCAATATAGTTTGGTACTACACCACACAGGTCATGGACTAAAAGCCACCATTCACTATTGGTTCTGTATTTCAAGGTATTATATCAAATAAATGATGAATAAAAAATAATGACATAACAAATAAGAATTTTTGATATCACAAAACTACACTGTTTGTGATTAAGATATCTAAACATTAATTTGTGATTGGTTTGCAAGTTGCATATTATATTGACTTCTTTTTTTTCAAAAACCTTGTATAATTCAGTATTTGTATGGTGAAATACTGCCAAGTATATTTTTAAAATATTGCCCCAAATACTGACCAGTATCTTATTATATTTTGCAGTAGGAAGTACTTTTTTGTATATAAGAATTATTTATACCACTGATTCCTGTTTAGATTCTTTCTCCTCTACTTTCAACCGATTTTATCTCTATGGTACATTTATGTAATTACTCACTCCACCTAATAATGAAGTTGAAATTCATGGACATCTGAAGAACATAATTACACATATATACAGCTAAACATTTGGAAAATACATCAAAAGATGGATAGGTGGAAATTGCCATAATTCGCCTATGTTGTTAATTTACCACTATCAGGAAAGCCCCAGGTACATGATTAGCACTTCCTGTAGTTTGTGATAAGATATATGTTTGTACTGACATTATGTAGGTGGGAACTGATAGTGCCTGTTTTTTACTGACCTAGTTCAATGGCTGGTCCAAGAATAGATGGACTGAGATCTCAGTTTGATGAATTACTATTCGTGTGGAAGTATTTATGCATAAGTTTCAGAAATGTATGTGTAATGCAATGTTCTGATAAGTATTCTCTGTTGTGTCATATAGGCTTGATATCAAAATGTCTCGTGTAAACATTAATGTTCCAGTAAATAAACATTGATATTAAGGAATTCTAAGCATGGCAGTGGCGGTGCAGCCTTCAGCAGGAGTTGTGAACCAGGTGTAGGCAGGCATGGCCACCTGGTCTCCATCACCGGCTCCCACCGGAGCCTTGGAATGTCTCAAACAGGATCACCCAGCTCCTGCCGGAGCCTTGGAATGTCTCAAACAGGATCACCCGGCTCCTCTCGGAGCCTTGGAATGTCTCAAACAGGATCACCCGGCTCCTCTCGGAGCCTTGGAATGTCTCAAACAGGATCAGCCAGCTCCTGCTGGAGCCTTGGAATATCTCAAACAGGATCACCCAGCTCCTGCCGGAGCCTTGGAATGTCTCAAACAGGATCACCCAGCTCCTCCCGGAGCCTTGGAATATCTCAAACAGGATCACCCAGCTCCTCCCAGAGCCTTGGAATGTCTCAAACAGGATCACCCAGCTCCTCCCGGAGCCTTGGAATATCTCAAACAGGATCACCTAGCTCCTCCCGGAGCCTTGGAATGTCTCAAACAGGATGACCCAGCTCCTCCCGGAGCCTTGGAATATCTCAAACAGGATCACCTAGCTCCTCCCAGAGCCTTTGAATGTCTCAAACAGGATCACCCAGCTCCTCTCGGAGCCTTGGAATATCTCAAACAGGATCACCCGGCTCCTGCTGGAGCCTTGGAATGTCTCAAACAGGATCACCCTTCAGCACTTGACTTTAGTGGGACATTTGTCACAAACAAGAGGAAGACACTTTCTTGATAAATTGCACTTCCATGTGAACCTCCTGTCATTGATGAAACCTCAGTTTGAATCCCGACATGGGCACAATTTGTGGCGAATCCCCCCTTAAGATAACTGGAATATTGACAGATACAAATAAAACCCAATTCAGTCATTCACTAGTATGACTGTCAATCCATGTGACCCTTCCAAGATATAGCCTGCTAGCAAAATATTGGTGTAATCCAAGTTTTGTCCAAGTTTCCTGACCCTGAATGAGATGGTGAGTGTGTGGATGAGACTGCCATCGTATGGCAGACAGTACAGCAGGCCATATTCAACATATAAAGCTCATGCTTAATATGAGGATGATATTTTGAAAATCATGTTAAAACTGTGAATATGTAATTTAAATGTGAATATTGTGATTTACTTGTTATCAGTCCACCTCACTGATACACAGCCGACATTATGGGGATATGTGGGACAGTCAGCTGACACTAACTGATGGTGCAGGCTGACAGATACTGTCAAGATAGAGATATACACATGTAGATAGCAGAAGATTACTCCTGGTGAGCTGTCTGACTCGGGGCCCTTGCTCAGGGTGATACAGAGGTGTTCTGCACCTGTTACCTTGAGACCTGGCAGTGTTGGCTGACTCAGCATGAGTGTCAGAACCATGGGTACATGACGCTAACATAATAAATCGATCATGTATCACAGCTTCTGATGCCAATCTAGATGCTCCAATATCTGTAGAAGGTAAAGGAAAAGGAATTCAGATTAAATTATTGGGCAGCAATATTATAGTATACATCTATGCCAGGATTAAGCCAGACATTGTAGAATCAGTATTGACTGTTGTGTTTCATGAAGTAGACATTGTAGAATCAGTATTGACTGTTGTGTTTCATGAAGTAGACATTGTAGAATCAGTATTGACTGTTGTGTTTCATGAAGTAGACATTGTAGAATCAGTATTGACTGTTGTGTTTCATGAAGTAGACATTGTAGAATCAGTATTGACTGTTGTGTTTCATGAAGTAGACATTGTAGAATCAGTATTGACTGTTGTGTTTCATGAAGTAGACATTGTAGAATCAGTATTGATTGTTGTGTTTCATGAAGTAGACATTGTAGAATCAGTATTGACTGTTGTGTTTCATGAAGTAGACATTGTAGAATCAGTATTGACTGTTGTGTTTCATGAAGTAGACATTGTAGAATCAGTATTGACTGTTGTGTTTCATGAAGTAGACATTGTAGAATCAGTATTGACTGTTGTGTTTCATGAAGTAGACATTGTAGAAGCAGTATTGATTGTTGTGTTTCATATCTTTCAGGGCTACTTGGAGTACCTGGAGAAACTGTCACTCAATTATGTGAAAGAAGAAGACCTCAAATGTCTGTTCAGCAATATACGGGATATTTACGACTTCGGGAGGTGCGTATACATTTTACACCCACCCTCCTAGTATCTAGACCAGTGGTCCCAGTCACACGAAACTGTCTGTTGCAGAAGTTATCAGGATAGGACTAGTAGCACTGTCCATCACTCCAGGTAGCACTGTCCATCACTTCAGGTAGCACATCATCTGTATACATGTATGTAAAGAAATCAAAATGACCACACTGTCTTACCTGGAACCGAATACGTTTATTGCAACATGACTATATTATACTGGGACTGCACATTTCAAGGCCTAATTATGGATTTTGCCTATTTTGGTTGAGTAACATTTTATCCATATGTAAGCCTAGGGCTTAAAAACGAAATAGGACAAAAGCATTTTTGGAAAAATGGATATATTTTTGTAATGAAACAATATTCACAAGTTGATTGACATCGTAACATAAGACATGATTTTCAAGAATATGTTCAAAAAGTTAACAACAAACCAATATATCAGAAGGGATGGGGTGGAGTTAGTGCTGACACAGGGATGGGGTGGGGGGGAATACTGACACAGGGATGGGGTGGGGGGAGTGCTGACACAGGGATGGGGTGGGGGAATACTGACACATGGATGGGGTGGGAGGAATACTGACACAGGGATGGGGTGGGGGAATACTGAAACAGGGATGGCGTGGGGGGAATACTGACACAGGGATCGGGTAGGGGGAGTGCTGACACAGGGATGGGGTGGGAGGAATACTGACACAGGGATGGGGTGGGGGGAATACTGACACAGGGATCGGGTAGGGGGAGTGCTGACACAGGGATGGGGTGGGAGGAATACTGACACAGGGATGGGGTGGGGGGAATACTGACACAGGGATGGGGTGGGGGGAATACTGACACAGGGATGGGGTGGGGGGGGGAATACTGACACAGGGATGGGGTGGGAGGAATACTGACACAGGGATGGGGTGGGGGAATACTGACACAGGGATGGGGTGGGGGGAATACTGACACAGGGATGGGGTGGGGGGAATACTGACACAGGGATGGGGTGGGGGGAATACTGACACAGGGATGGGGTGGGGGGGGAATACTGACACAGGGATGGGGTGGGAGGAATACTGACACAGGGATGGGGTGGGGGGGAATACTGACACAGGGATGGGGTGGGGGGAGTGCTGACACAGGGATGGGGTGGGAGGAATACTGACACAGGGATGGGGTGGGGGAATACTGACACAGGGATGGGGTGGGGGGAATACTGACACAGGGATGGGGTGGGGGGAGTGCTGACACATGAATGGGGTGGGGGGAGTGCTGACACAGGGATTGGGTGGGGGAATACTGACACAGGGATGGGGTGGGGGAGTGCTGACACAGGGATGGGGTAGGGGGAATACTGACACAGGGATGGGGTGGGGGGAATACTGACACAGGGATGGGGTGGGGGGAATACTGACACAGGGATGGGGTGGGGGGAGTGCTGACACATGAATGGGGTGGGGGGAGTGCTGACACAGGGATGGGGTGGGGGAGTGCTGACACAGGGATGGGGTGGGGGGAATACTGATATAGGGATGGGGTAGGGGGAATACTGACACAGGGATGGGATGGGGGAATACTGACACAGGGATGGGGTGGGGGGGAATACTGATATAGGGATGGGGTAGGGGGAATACTGACAGGGATGGGGTGGGGGGAGTACTGACACAGGGATGGGGTTGGGGGGAATACTGACACAGGGATCGGGTGGGGGGAGTGCTGACACAGGGATGGGGTGGGGGAGTGCTGACACAGGGATGGGGTAGGGGGAATACTGACACAGGGATGGGGTGGGGGAATACTGACACAGGGATGGGGTGGGGGAATACTGACACAGGGATGGGGTGGGGGAATACTGACACAGGGATGGGGTGGGGGAGTGCTGACACAGGGATGGGGTAGGGGGAATACTGACACAGGGATGGGGTGGGGGGAATACTGACACAGGGATGGGGTGGGGGGAGTGCTGACACAGGAATGGGGTGGGGGGAGTGCTGACACAGGGATGGGGTGGGGGGAATACTGACACAGGGATGGGGTGGGGGAGTGCTGACAGGGATGGGGTGCGAGGAATACTGACACAGGGATGGGGTGGGGGGGAATACTGATATAGGGATGGGGTAGGGGGAATACTGACAGGGATGGGGTGGGGGGAGTACTGACACAGGGATGGGGTGGGGGGGAATACTGACACAGGGATCGGGTAGGGGGAGTGCTGACACAGGGATGGGGTGGGAGGAATACTGACACAGGGATGGGTTGGGGGAATACTGACACAGGGATGGCGTGGGGGAATACTGACGCAGGGATGGGGTGATAGGAATACTGACGCAGGGATGAGGTGGGGGGAATACTGACACAGGGATAGGGTGGGGGAATACTGACACAGGGATGGGGTGGGGGGGAATACTGACACAGGGATGGGGTGGGGGAATACTGACACAGGGATGGGGTGGGGGAATACTGACACAGGGATGGGGTGGGGGGAATACTGACACAGGGATGGGGTGGGGGGAATACTGACACAGGGATGGGGTGGGGGAATACTGACACAGGGATGGGGTGGGGGAGTACTGACACAGGGATGGGGTGGGGGGAATACTGACACAGGGATGGGGTGGGGGAGTACTGACACAGGGATGGGGTGGGGGAGTGCTGACACAGGGATGGGGTGGGGGGAATACTGACACAGGGATGGGGTGGGGGGAGTACTGACACAGGGATGGGGTGGGGGGGAATACTGACACAGGGATGGGGTGGGGGGTGTACTGAAACAGGGATGGGGTGGGGGTGTACTGACACAGGGATGGGGTGGGGGGAATACTGACACAGGGATCGGGTGGGGGGAGTGCTGACACAGGGATGGGGTGGGGGTGTACTGACACAGGGATGGGGTGGGGGAGTACTGACACAGGGATCGGGTGGGGGGAGTGCTGACACAGGGATGGGGTGGGGGTGTACTGACACAGGGATGGGGTGGGGGAGTACTGACACAGGGATCGGGTGGGGGGAGTGCTGACACAGGGATGGGGTGGGGGAGTGCTGACACAGGGATGGGGTTGGGGAGTGCTGACACAGGGATGGGGTGGGGGGGTGCTGACACAGGGATGGGGTGGGGGAGTGCTGACACAGGGATGGGGTGGGGGGAGTACTGACACAGGGATGGGGTGGGGGAGTGCTGACACAGGGATGGGGTGGGGGAGTGCTGACAGGAATGGGTGAGTGTGTCCAGAAAATACAGGGCAGGAGGCTACATTTATGTATAGTAACACAGAAGTATAGGTACTGGGAAATCCATACATGGTGTTAAGTTTCTGCAGGAATGGTGGTTTACTCATTTGTTTATCTTGCCTGCTGAAAGATGTTCCACAGCCTGATAAACATCAAAGTGAAAGAGCATCATATGAGGTTATAAGCCACAAAGCATGTACAGACCAACAGCTGCTGTACCAGGCACCCTGTTGCAACTGCCCCAGCAACGCTGAAATATATGTGTCACATGATGATGAAAGTATATATGTGAGGATGTCAATTGTCAATATTTTAATTCTATGGTTTACATGTAGGAGCAGCAGATTGCAAATGTTTAACATATTGACACGTTATGAATAAGAGAAATGTTGTGTAGGATACATATGTTTTTTGGGTGTAACATTTGCCTCGATATGAAGGAAAGTGAAAGTGTAGCAATGTATTACACAAGGCGTGATGTGGTGTCTGAGTTACGTGTCATGTGTTGGTTGCAGGTTGTTTCTGTGGGAGGTGGAGAAGTGTGATGGGAACCCCGTCCAGGTGGCCGAGTGCTTTGTCAAGAACAACGAGGGCTTTGTCATCTACACTGACTACTGCACCAACTATCCTAGGTGGGTTCCCAGGCTCCTCACCCTAATACAAACATATTCATATGATTATTACATAAAATGTCACTTCCTGTGAAAAACTCAAATTAAACACATGTACACCAAGCAAAACTATTGAATAGCATAGATTTTTAGATTATCATACAAGTTTTATTTGTTTTCTTGAAAAAACTAATGATATGTTGTACTTGCTGATTTTTTGTTAAATAGTATGCTAGGCTGTCATTTGTAGAGGATAAAAGTGAGCTGTTGCAAGTATCAGGTACACTCTAGAAATGCCCTCTTGGAATAAGACCATCCGTGTCAAGGTAGTTGCCATCTAACAGCAAGTGGGAAATTGACTTTGTCAGGATGAGAAATATTGACTTAATGAAACTAAACATTGGAACAAGTACCTCCTGAAAACTCACAAATTTGTCTCTGGCAACTGACAACAATGTCACACTTTCTCACCCACACACTTTCTCTCAAATCTTATTCACATGATTATACACTTTCTCATCTTGGAGCAGCCACACCCTTCCCACAAAAACACAAAATTATCTTTGCTCCATGGCGATTACACAAGAGAATTGCCACGTCTCATTGTGTTTGCTTTATCATGTGTTGCCCTTCACTGCCAGCTGGTTCAGAAGGACAAAGGCAAGACAGTGTGTGTTTGTCGGCATAACACACCTGGCATGTCCACGGCCCATCAAACTAAAGCTATTAAACTGCAGACTTACTATTTGATAACAGTTTGAGATTAAGATTTCTACGTGTTTGCAATGTATTGAAGAAAATTTAAAGGAACATTGTTGAACTATACATTAGGTTAGTGTTTTCACAAAGAGTACAGTATTTGCCGTATTAGCACCCTGTTCTAATAAGTGCCCTGCTCCAATTAGCACTCCCTGACCAATAAGCACCAATAAGCATCCCTTGACCAGTAGGCACCTCCTGACCAAATGGTGTGCCAATATGTAAGTATTCTTTATGAACACCCCCACAATGAAAATTTTGTTTATTAGTATTAGTAACTATTATCGAAACTATTTTGTTTCATCGATGTTTGAACTTAGTTTGTTCTTTTGTACTTGATATCTGATGACAACTTAAAGGGCCAGTATGTTGATGCATGCTTCTGGGTGTTTTTAACTCATGCATGAAATAATTTCCAGGTGTGACGTCACACCTTTATCTCATGCTTGATTCAATTCTCAAACCAAGACAATAGACTCCGCACAGCAAAGCTGACAGCCCATGCACTGCGCAGAATAACTGGCTTCAGTCATGTTTTTATTAGAGGCAATTGGAAAGAAAGCTTTGTTTTTTTCCAATCTCATTAAAATCAGATCTTAGTTCTCGCTACCACTAAACAAAGATCTGAGAACATCCCATTACAGGTCACGTCAGACCGACCTTTCGCTTACTTTGACCGACCAATGGAATGACTAACAAGAAGTCAACAACAGCCAATCAGAAGGCAGCTTAATTGAGCATTACGGCACAAGTTTCAAACTGGTGACTACGCTTCGAAACATATTTGGACATGTACTAGATTAAAAAATTAAAAACTGATGATTTAGAAAATATAATCGCCAGCTTGATTTGATAAGAAGCCTGTGTTTATCAAAGTCTTGATTACAATATAAATGCTGGGCATATGAATCCAAACACTCTCCTACCCAGAGTTCCTTGTGGCCAGCCTATAGATAGTACCTCTGTCACATGGTCACATCTTACAGTCCATTCAAGATATAGCACATGTTTTTCATGTTTCATTTTTGACAAGTCTACACATTTAGATAAACATATGTGATGAAATGTTTAATTTCATTGAGAAAATATAATAAAACGTGAAAAAATATTTCAATTTGCTTATTTATGCTCCATGTGCTACAAACAAGAGAAAAGTTTGGTCACATGATAAGCCTTCATCCTCGTTGTGGTCATTGGAGTTGAAACTTTTCTTGCAGAATATGACAAGCTCGGGGTTATCGGCTATTGCTTCAGAATGTTTGATATATTGGCCCTTTAACTCGCTGTGTATGGTTTTAATAAAACATCCCCCTTTGGCATTTTCTAAGCATCTGAGGTGTTTATTATGGCGAATACGGTGTCAAGTTTTAGAAAACAACAGACAAATAGGAAGGATTCATGGAGAAACTCCTTCACTTCCGATGGTAACAGTCTCTGAATTGTTGATGAAAGACATTCAAAGGCGTTAACTTTACAAATAAACAGTTTTCTTTTTCTCAATGGGTGTCTTGTAATAATTTCTTGACAAGGCAGTGTGTTGAGTTGCTGTATTTGCAGATGTTTATGGTGTCATTGTTCACCTGACTGCCAATCCCTCTGTTTGTTCTGGGATGCAGTAATCGTCTCTCCTCTGTGTACAGTCACAGGAAAGTTATTTAAATTACTGGTATCAGAAATTACCGCTTAGAGAAAAGATTATACATTAAAGAGATGAATTAATAAAAAGAAATATTGTGTAGGTATTAGAAACACTCCACTACAATAAGGTACCAGATTTTACGATAACTGTGTGTATATCAGTATGTGATATTTCCAATCACAATCCCTTTCCACCCGATTCTGTTTGGTATATTGAGTATTTACCTTTTACAATGGTGGAGTAATCCCATGTTTATAAACCTCCATGAATTCAATGGGAATAGTAGCACAATGAAGTGTCACTGAAATTAACTGAAAGTTTGTATCTATTATACGTGTACTTATCTATATTTGACTTGCATTTTATACAGTGCCGTGGAAGTGCTGACTCGCTACATGATGGATCCACACATGTCCGAGTTGTTCAAACAGCGTCAAGTGGTCCTGGGGCATGGACTGCAACTGGGGGCATACTTACTTCGCCCTGTGCAGAGGATACTCAAGTATCACCTGCTGTTACAGGTATGTTGGGGGTTGGAGGTTTGTGGGGAGGGATTGGGGTTGGGTGTGGTGGTTGCTGTTGGCAGGCAATAGCATGGGATGGGGAAATGTGGCGGGTAGCCGAGAGGATGGGTACCATGGATCGACATGGGTAACAGAGGTGGTAGAGTTAATCGTGTTTGGGTTTGAAGTGCAAGATCACATTTGCATTGTGTTTTTCTGTGACATGTAATTGTAGCTCTGCTTGTCTGTCACCATTTGGTATTTGCATCTGTTAACAATTTCTCAGAAGCCAGTGGATGGAAGAAATTTGTTCCCACCCACTAGTGACAACTAGATTCTTTTATGAGGCTCAGATCCAATCTTTTATTTTCCATATTAGGAAAACCATGTTTTTCTCTTTAAGCAGCTGTTATTGCACTTAGTGCATGGGTTCCAAATAGGATACAAAGAGAAAACTTGTTAGATACCATTTTTACGAAACGAGTGGACTTTCTATGGTATCTGACTGAGCGATAGCGAGTTTTGTAAAAATGGTATCCAACAAGAAATGAGTGTGGTATTTTATTTATTACCCACGTTAAATATGTAAATACATAACAACTTTCGCTCATCAACAGACCAAATTGAAACCGGTTGCAAATCTGGTGGTGCACGAATATTGATATATGCCCAAATATGGGTATTGTTGGCATTGTAAATGTCTGTCATTTTCATGAGATCTTTCAGTTCTGTCGTTGCGAAAGTAAATTATGTCTCGCAATTTGTTTATGAATGAAAAAAGGAGTCCCGGTGTGGCAGAGGTCACGGTTATCCAATCAAAACGAATAAAATGAGGTCAACCTTGTACGACACACGTGTGACGTACGGATTTAGTATCTTACCACATGTATCTTCACCACAGGGGTAATAATTAAGTAGAACTTGGTGTATGGGTAGTCAGTATAGTGGGGCTCCATGTAGCATACTTAAGTAGAACTTGGTGTATGGGTAGTCTGTATAGTTGGGCTCCATGTAGGATACTTAAGTAGAACATGGTGTATGGGTATAGTGGGGCTCCACGTAGGATACTTAAGTAGAACTTGGTGTATGGGTAGTCTGTATAGTTGGGCTCCACAAGGGGTCCGGAAAATTTTAAATCCCAATCGGACATTTGCAATTAGGCCACGCCATAATATGATGAATTATGAATTGTTTCAGTTTAAATTGTTAAATTCACCGGACAATTAATAACAAATAATATCATTTTATATATATATGGAAAACATACATTTGTTTCTGTTATAATAACAGTCTGTTAACGTAGTGAACGGTCCAATTAATATTCATGAGTTATATTCATGAGTCTGCTCAAGTGTACGCGTTGTAAAATTTGGGTCGAGACTATTATCCCATATTTGGTTATCACGTGACCTCATGGGAAAAGTTTTTTTTTAAACTAAAGATTATTTAAAAACAAGACAGATAACATAATCACAAATACTAAAATATCGTTGATAGCAATAGTTATTTGAATACTTTTTCCATCTGTACTCAATTATTGACCATAAAAAATTTGATATCGATCGTCAGAGAAAGCAAAATGGCGATCAATCAAGATTCAATATACGACTAGCTACTGAAAACAATAAAATCTGCAAATCCTCATTGTATGTCAACCAAGTGAAAGTCGTTAGCCACGACTTACAAAATGATCGTCAAGACTTTGAGGGTTTGGCAGATCCGCTCGACTGATCTGCATCGGTCGACTGACTGTCGACACGCTTTCGCTTCTTGTCTGAGGTTACGTATCGTAGCATTGTGGGGATAATGAGGTACATCGATGATGCAAGGTATTTATGTACAGTTGAGCCGCTCCACATAGGATACTTAAGTAGAACTTGGTATATGGGTAGTCTGTACAGTGGGTCTCCACGTAGGATACTTCAGTAGAACTTGGTGTATGGGTATTCTGTATAGTTGGGCTCCACATAGGATACTTAAGTAGAACTTGGTGTATGGGTAGTCTGTATAGTTGGGCTCCACAGAGGATACATCAGTAGAACTTGTTGTATGGGTAGTCTGTATAGTTGGGCTCCACAGAGGATACTTCAGTAGAACTTGTTGTATGGGTAGTCTGTATAGTTGGGCTCCACAGAGGATACTTCAGTAGAACTTGTTGTATGGGTAGTCTGTATAGTTGGGCTCCACAGAGGATACTTAAGTAGAACTTGGTGTATGGGTAGTCTGTATAGTTGGGCTCCACAGAGGATACTTAAGTAGAACTTGGAGTATGGGTAGTCTGTATAGTTGGGCTCCACAGAGGATACTTCAGTAGAACTTGTTGTATGGGTAGTCTGTATAGTTGGGCTCCACAGAGGATACTTCAGTAGAACTTGGTGTATGGGTATTCTGTATAGTTGGGCTCCACAGAGGATACTTAAGTAGAACTTGGTGTATGGGTAGTCTGTATAGTTGGGCTCCACAGAGGATACTTAAGTAGAACTTGGAGTATGGGTAGTCTGTATAGTGGGGCTCCACAGAGGATACTTAAGTAGAACTTGGTGCATGGGTAGTCTGTATAGTTGGGCCCCACATAGGATACTTAAGTAGAACTTGGTGTATGGGTAGTCAGTATAGTGGGGCTCCACATAGGATACTTAAGTAGAACTTGGTGTATATTGGTAGTCTGTATAGTGGGTCTCCACGTAGGATACTTAAATAGAACTTGGTGCATGGGTAGTCTGTATAGTGGGGCTCTACAGAGGATACTTAAATAGAACTTGGTGCATGGGTATTCTGTATAGTGGGGCTCCACATAGGATACTTAAGTAGAACTTGGTGCATGGGTAGTCGATATACCATATTGAGGAATCCTATTGTGGCCATTAGTCAGCCTGTTGTAGAAGCAGCCTTGATCTAAGGATGTTTGTATCATGGTTTTTCTTGGTGGACCATGTTTGACTTGGCCCCTGCACCTTTTCTATGTTCTCCAGTAAAAGCCTGAAGTTAATTCAAGGCAATGCCTCGGCTTTCATTAGGAATTAATATTTCAGGCTTTTGCTGCTCTAACTTGTTAAAGGTACTTACACTGGTATTTATGTTTCAGAACATTTTGAAGTTTTTTGACAAGGACAAAACAGGATACGAGACATTGAACAAAGCATTCAAACACATGACAGAAATGGCTCACCACATCAATGAGATGAAGCGGAAACATGAGCATGCTGTGCGCATCCAAGAGATACAGAGCCAGCTGGAGGAGTATGGGGGTGAGGACCTCATCCGACTAGGGGAACTCGTCCTTGAGGTAAGTACACAAGAGAGCTCAAAACTCAACACTGAGTAAATGTAGATGCTGCTTTAATGCTGCTCCCTGTTGGAGTGATCTACAGTGTGTGTCTACAAGTGAGCGGTGTGTTGCAGGGGCCTTTCCGTGTGTATGGTGCCAAGGCATCCCGCCAGGTCTTCCTGTTTGAGCGGGAGATCCTCATCAGCAAGAAGAAGGAGGGTGGGATGCTGGGCTGCAAGGCATCCATACAGGTAACCCTTCCAACACAACAGTTGAGCCTAAATAAATCAATTAGTATCTTGTCATCCCCTCCCACCTCACTAGCAAATGCCCCATCTCACATAATGTTATTGTCCTCAAATATCTACAGACAGAGAAAATTGCTATGTGTGTTCCCTTCTTTCTTAATGGATGCAGTGCATCCCATTCAAGCTCGGGTCTGTGACATACCTATTTCACACATTCTTGTAATGTCCCTTTGTACACATACTGATCTGTGTGTTCCCAGCTGGCCAACCTGATGCTGGTGGAAGTGATCCCCAATGAACCTCTCAGCTTCCACCTCATACCCTTCGACAACCCCCGGGCCCAGTTCACCCTGCAGGTAGGTCCACACACCAGTCAGTCAAAACTGTTTGAATGTTGGTCATTTAAGGATACCTAAATGTAGATGGTGAAAGGTATGACCTTATGCTGACTTGTTCCCTGTGCAGGCGCGGAACATGGAACAGAAGCGGCGGTGGTGCCAGGAGATCAAGCGCCTCATTCTGGAGACCTACAAGGGGAAGATCCCGGACAAGGTGAAGAGCCTGGTGATGGAGCTGGGCAGGAACCATGATGATGGTGAGGGGAGCTGCCTAGGTTGGGATGTCCTCATATTGGTATACACACCAACTTGTCACTGGACAAATTGTCTTAATAGTGACAACATACATAACTGAATATCAGTAATAGAAATACAGTAAACTACGTTTATAATGAACAGACGGATTAAACAAACTTATTTTTGGTCCTGGACATTTGCTATATATGCTGTATATATGCTTATTACAAACAAAAAATAGTGGTCCCTTTGAGTGTGTAATAATCATAGTTTACTGTATAGCAATCCTCTAAGTATAATTGGGCTATGGTTATGTTGTGGTTTGTAGCTATATGACTGATGGTGATGTTTCAGACTATGTGAACAGTGAGAACCTCGACCCAAGGCGGAGTCACCATACGGCCCCTGAGTACCTGGAACGTCGGCGAGGGCGGCGGAAGTCTGGTGGAAGACTACCAGGTAAGGGGAGGCAACCCACCTATACTTCTTCTCAATACATGGCAAGGGAATTGTAGATATATTACATTTACAGCTAAATGGCTCTGTCATACTCCTAGCTCTTGATTATAAGGCATGTGACCAGCATAAGTCACCAGACATGACCCTTTTGTCAGCTTATTTCGGCCCTTGATTTCTTTTTTGTTTACATTGTAACTTGGATAGTGCGCACCTCTTTTTCAAAATCCTGTATCTGCGTCTGATAGAGCTGCTTGTCCTCTATGGGCAGATGTTGGTGCACGGTCAGTGAGGTACTCAGTAAACAATGAATGAGCCTCTATTTCCTTGCCATGAGTCACTAGAATCTATAGATTGATCTTTTCATTTCAGATCTGTTGAAGCCCCAGAAGGGAAAGAGAGGATCATGTAAGTTGATGTTAGAGGTCACACTTTGTTACCTAGTCGTTTCTTCTTGTAACTTATGTAACAAACACGGCAATCACTATGTTATGTTGGAGGACACACTTTGTTGCCTAGTCGTTTCTTCTTGTAACTTATGTAACAAACACGGCCATCACTATGTTATGTTGGAGGTCACACTTTGTTGCCTAGTCGTTTCTTCTTGTAACTTATGTAACAAACACGGCCATCACTATGTTATGTTGGAGGTCACACTTTGTTGCCTAGTCGTTTCTTCTTGTAACTTATGTAACAAACACGGCCATCTCTATGTTATGTTGGAGGTCACACTTTGTTGCCTAGTCGTTTCTTCTTGTAACTTATGTAACAAACACGGTCATCGCTATGTTATGTTGGAGGACACACTTTGTTGCCTAGTCGTTTCTTCTTGTAACTTATGTAATAAACACAGCCATCGCTATGTTATGTTGGAGGTCACACTTTGTTGCCTAGTCCTTTCTTCTTGTAACTTATGTAACAAACACGGCCATCGCTATGTTATGTTGGAGGACACACTTTGTTACCTAGTCGTTTCTTCTTGTAACTTATGTAACAAACACGGTCATCGCTATGTTATGTTGGAGGTCACACTTTGTTGCCTAGTCGTTTCTTCTTGTAACTTATGTAACAAACACAGCCATCGCTATGTTATGTTAGAGGTCACACTTTGTTGCCAACAATCTTTCCTACTTGTAACTTATGTAACAAACACAGTCATCGCTATGTTATGTTGGAGGTCATACATTGTTGCCAACAATCTTTTCTACTTGTAACTTATGTAACAAACACGGCCATCGCTATGTTATGTTGGAGGTCACACTTTGTTGCCTAGTCGTTTCTTCTTGTAACTTATGTAACAAACACGGCCATCGCTATGTTATGTTGGAGGTCACACATTGTTGCCAACAGTCTTTTGTACTTGGAACTTATGTAACAAACACGGCCATCGCTATGTTATGTTAGAGGTCACACTTTGTTGCCAACAATCTTTCCTACTTGTAACTTATGTAACAAACACAGCCATCACTGTGTTATGTTGGAGGTCACACATTGTTGCCAACAATCTTTCCTACTTGTAACTTATGTAACAAACACAGCCATCACTGTGTTATGTTGGAGGTCACACATTGTTGCCAACAGTCTTTCCTACTTGTAGTTCCTTATGTTAAGAGTTAAAAAAAATATAAATGTTTCATTTGTTTCCCTTTCTGTTCTTTCTACAGCTGGAAACAGGAAAGTAAGTATATATTTTAGTACTTATATATGTACACTTTACAGTCTGCAGTTTCCAGAACAGTTTCTTCACTCTATGAGAACATTATTAAACAAACTACCTAGTCCTAAGATTGCTTCATTGACAGAGTAAAGTTTGTCCATCAGTTCTTCCAAACACATTCTTTCGGAATATCATATTGAACATGAAATATGTGAGGAAAAAAAAACATATCGAAAAATAATCAAATTATACTTAAGCAATGGCAAAGGTTTCCTTAGATTAAAACTGAAAGTTCCTATGAATTAATGGTGTGATTATCTTCTTTCAGGGAGACATCAGTCCTAGAACAGTAAGTATCATATCCTTCCGTTTGATCTGACTCACAACTCTGTATCTTTACCTGGTATAGCATCGTGAATTGACATTGGACAATATCATACCCATGTATTAGTTCCCGCTTTTTAATTTATTTTTTTATGTTACTAAAAGTAACGTTGACCAAGACTACTTGGGCTAGCTCTACTTTACCGTATATCGTGAATGTGATTGCTAAATCTGATGGTGTAATGCTATTACAATTTACTTCCAAGTAAATAATTATGGAAGGTAAACACAAACTTGTTCATTAAAAGAACCTCCTGTCAGCTGGTCCCCAAGGAACATGAAGATCATGCAAACAGCACATATTAAGTATTACTATATGTATCTCATGAAGACTCAAATAGTGAAATAATGTTTTGTAGTTTTAGGTAGACATATCATGACATCCTTAGCGATTAATTATGTCAAATGGAAGATTCAAATTAACATTAAAATGGCGTTGCAGTATTTAACATCTGCAATGTGTTGATTTGTTACAGTCGCCACTCCTGGAGAGAAGGCAGACACATTCTTCACTGGAGACCAGTGTAGCAAGGGAGACAACCCCGGACCACAAAAAGGTAGTCAGATTTGTTCATGTAGTATGTTTAGAACTACATTCGATTATACTATATGATGCAGTTTCCATTTTTATTAATTAAGCTTGAGAAGTTTTTAGAAGAATGTAATTTCAGTAACATAAGAATATTCTGAATACTTATCAGTGCTTCTGCTATCAGTGTATTTTTTCTTCCAGAGCAAACAAAGTGTGACTGACACATCCAGTGAAGGCGCCTCAGTCTCCAGAGCCACAACTCAGAGTGATATCTCCTCTCAGTCTGCAGTCATTGAAGACACATCTGTGGGCTTCAGCAGGTCTGTGGACACGTTGGCTGGCCAGAAAAACACTTCTCCCAAAGAGACTTCCAGTGACAATGTCCGGCGAGCCAAGAGTTTCCGTATTGCAACCAGAATGAGACCAATCAACTCACTAGATCTTGGTGATGTTATACCCAGCATTGATTCTGATTCAGAGAGTGATGTGGATGATCCAGATCTTACACAAGATGGTTTGAAAGACTATAATGATGTTGTGTTTAATAGTCGGTCAGATTTGGATGAATTGTCTGATGGAGATAAACCCAAGAAAACCAATAAGCAGAGTAGGTACACCAGTATGCCTATTTTGAATATAACACCTCCATCCAAGGATTCAAGAAACAGTCCCAAGGAAAGTGGCACAGTGAATTCCAACTCCTGGACAAAGAACAAACAAGGAAGTCTTGTGAATCTTCAGACAAAGCAGTGGACAAAAAATGGTCACAAAGAGCAGGGTAAAAGCATTCCTGCTTTCCATGACACTTTTGCCAAAAGGTCCCGTGAAAACCTGACAATAAAAGCATTGCGTCACCCAGTTTATACTGTGAAGCACCTTTCGGTGGACTGTGATGCTTCTTCCATGAAGGGAATCAACGCCAAGCTCACAAACTGGGGCAGCACAGAGAAGCTGACTAAGGGATCAATGACCGATGTGTCACACTTATCAGAAGATCCATGGGTGAAGAACCCAGCAGTTAAGAAGCTCTCTGGATCTGTCAGTGTGTCAAATGTCTCGGTCAAACCTCAGGTGAATAAACAGAAGAAAACTTCTGAACCTAGTGATCCTAAAAGTGGTAGCCGCGAAAATATGGACTGGAGGGTATATGTGAACCGAAATTCTTTAAATGATACTGAGAATCAGAAGTATTTTTCCAAATATTGTACCCCACCGAGAGGGACTATGACACCGCCAAAAAGCCCTGTAGTGATGAAGCAGGAACATAACTCACAAAACCCGATGAAGCAGAACACAAATGACTCTCCCTGCAACCTGGCATCCAGACCAGTCTCAACCTATGACACTGTTCCAGATATCCCCAAGGTTACGGTTGCCTCAAGCGTTCCCTCAATCATTGTGTCATCAACGTCTCCAAAGTTTCCCCATCATGACCATCTCTCACGTCATAACCTCAACAGATCCAATTCCACACCCTTGACCAAAACAAAGACCATTGCTCAAGCTGCCAATAACAGGCCATCATCTTTCGACTGTGAGGGATACACAGATAGTGAGAGAATGGTAGCTGAGATGGAGGATTATATGAGAAAGTCCAGGGACAATAATTCTTCATCATCATGTAAGTTTCCAACCAATCTACCTGTTTTCCATTACAATGAGTTTGAGAAAGGGAACAGACATTCAAATATTTCTACATCATCTTACGAAAGCCATTCCAGCAGCTCCAGTGAAGGGATCATGGATACTCTGAAACACAAGATTCACAGCTGGACATCAAAAATTTCAAAACGTATGGAAGACAGCGATGGCCACTCGACATTGTCAAGTGTGTCAGATGTCCGTCCATCATCTTTGCTCATGTCAGATGATGAGAAGATGGATGATGCAAAGAGTAAAAACTCTTCTTGTGAGACCCTGGACTCGCCACATGCACGAAAGAGAGGAACAGAGAGGCTGAAGAGGCAGCACCATCTTCTGGAGGAAGATGAGGAACTGAGGATATTCCTGAGGCAGAGAGGACTTGGTGGAGACTCTATTGGGTCCAGGATGGCAAATTCTCTTCCACCTAATGTAGAGGCCTTGATAACTGATAAACTAAGACCTCACAGTGCCTGTGTTCTCAGGGACAGTGATTCTCTTTCTTCCTATGAACTTTCCAGCAAGGAGACTACTCCTGAACCTCAGGCTCGGTTGTCATTACCAATTTTGCCCCCGGCTGCTGAAAATCATAGTCCTTTACTAAACAAGATGGAAATTCAGCAGTCAGACTCAGGCTTTTCTATGCAAAGTGACGAGACTGATAGTAATTCCATGGAGACCACTGCCGCTGTCAATAACATGACCCCACCTCCTGCCAAGCAAATGGATGTAGAAGAAACTGAACAGGAGAAAGATGAGACTCCTACCTTGGACACTAGACAGAAAGAGTCAACGGTGTCTAGGGGGCGTACTCAGTCAGAATCGTCTGCTGATTCTGTTGATAGTTTTTATGAACGTCGTTTGTCTATAGCTTTTGACTCGGAAGTTTTTCAGGATTCGGCAGTGTTTTGTGACGTCAATATTGATCCTAAACAGAAGGTTGTGAAGGAGACCCCAAAGAAACCAAGACAGTCAATCAAAGACTTTGTTCAGATCTTGGAGGAAAGGAATAAACCAAAGACTCCACATACTGTTGAGGTCAAGCGTAGGGGACCAGGCTCAGTGATTCGTCAGCGACTCCAGACTCTACAACAGGCATCGCAATATTCCAGACACAGCAGTAGAAACACCAGTGAAGAAAGGGAATTGGTGCAACCCAAATCTGTGAAAGATATTCAGCAGTCCCTGGTTACGGATTCACGATCTGGCCAGTCCAAGAGCTGGCACCCTAGTTCCAGCAGCAACATCGGCTCCATCAACAGCAGCTCGAACACATCCATCAGCTCCAGCTGCTCATCTGGCATCTCAGGGCCACACTTTGCTGTGGTTGGTGGCAGTGGCAGTCACTCCTATGGTGGCAATCAATTCATGCACCATCATGTGCGGGCTGAATCAGAACACGGCAGAGAGAGCTCACCGGAACTTTGTGGTCTCAGGTCAGCACGCTCACTAGGCAGGCTCGACCAATTGAGCACAGACATTGAGAACCTTGTCATCATGAAAGGATGGGTGAGGTCACTCATTAACAAGTTCCAGAGTGACAAGGAATGACTGCGCATGCATGTCAGTTTGAATACATGTCAGTGTGAATACTTTCAATATTGTAGTGTGAAGTAATAACTTTTCCTAATATTGAATTTTGAAATTGAAATGTTAAACGATATGTTTTATATATCGGAAGCAGTGGTCTAATATTTGGACAATATTACCAAGTTTCCATTGATTAGGCACTACATAGATTACTGAGTCCAAAAGTAGGTATTATCACAAACAGACACCATTATTGGGAAATTATGTTCAGGGATATATTCCCACAGAGAAATATTACCGATGTTCATGCCTTAGTTATGTTGGAGATTAAGTCATCAGCTGACCAATTTGATACCAGTGGTTTGGACTGATGTTGAGCTGTATGTAATTCTTTCTGGAAAGTTTATGAATTATGAAGATGCAATTGACTCATTGTAGCACACTAGTCTTCAAAACAGTGGTTTCATATCTCGTGTGATGGACACATTTGATAAACTAATATATTCTAGCAGTACATGGCTTTTGCTAACGCACGCACGCACGCACGCACGCACGCACGCACGCACGCACGCACGCACGCACACCTATTATTATTATTATTACAATTGATGATTCAACTCCATCAAACCTTAAGGTGTATTCCATTTATATTTGTTCCAAGTTGCTGTGTTAAATTGTTATCATCAGGATTCGTGTTTGCAATTCACTGCTTGCTGCATGCTTTCAGTTCCGATTCCTTATGTCTACTGGTTCTTCAGCTGTGTCCATATCTGTGACTGTCTACAGCTGTGTCCATATCTGTGACTGTCTGCAGCTGTGTCCATATCTGTGACTGTCTGCAGCTGTGTCCATATCTGTGACTGTCTGCAGCTGTTTACATCTGTAACTGTGTACAGGTTCTTCATGCTCTGTCACAACACTGTTTGTGCATGTCTAGTCAACAAATATATAGAAGTGAGTGAGTGAGTTGGGTTTAAAGCTGCTTTTAACATTATTCCAGTTATATCACGGCGTGTCAGCTTAATGTGGGAGGAAAGCCCGAAGTGATGCAGGTCTCAGACGTTTACCACTTCGGTGAAACCCACGAGCACGGGTATGGTGCTGACAAACCTAGAAACATAATTGGGGCGAACCAGGATTCGAACCCACAATCATAGGTTTCTGGCGTGTCCAAGGGACGCAACTCTGCACAGCGAATCGCGGCGCTGATATGGAAACACATGAGGGTAATAATCTCTTATCATGGGTTGTCATTCATAAAATAATTGATGTTTAATATGTAACTTAAGTAACCATGTATAAATACATGTTGGAGTGAACTGTCCTATATATCATATAGTGCCAAATGATTTGCAGTTGTTTTTCTACAGAATTACCCACACATTTGGAAATCACTAATTAAACATATTGGGAACGTTAGGCAATAGTTCATTGAGCAGGCAGACATTGCATTGATGTATGGAGCTTAGAAGTAGTTCCTCCTTGGTGAACTCATTGCATATTTATTGGATCATAAAACCAAGTTTTTATGATTGGTTTGTCACATCAGTAACACAATGCTTTTTATGATAAGTTTCTGTTTGCTAATGTTCTTTCACTGATTTCAGTACATTAGTGAAGGAAGGAGTGTTATATATTGTACTCACCCGACACATGTAGCCACACGTTATCTCCTGGTTAATATAAGTATCACACAGAGATGCTTGTATATTGCTATCATCTGCAAATATGGTGCTTATAGTTATTTGTATATATCAACTTAACATAGTGGTTTTTCCATCAGGAATTGAATCTCCATATTTGATGGAAAATGATAAGTATGTGATGGTTGTGCTAATGTGTAGTTAACTGGGATAAGGGACATCTCAAGACTTGGCTTGAAGGATTCACGAGGAATGGCCATCAGTGCAGCTCCTGTAATAGCCCAAAGAGGACATACAAAAATAAAATTGAGAATCTTTGATCATAGTTTTACAAAATGTTTGCAAATGTTGACTGCATGAAAACTTCTAAAATGGAGAAGAAATGGTAAAGTGTTTCTGCAAGTTTGAGTTATTGTAGACTGCTTTTATGCCACATATAATTAGCAGTCTGCTGTCAACCATGTTGTGCTTGTCATACTGTTCATGTTGTCTATTGGCGTGGTGGTGTTCAGTATGGTTGGCCATTTGATAAAAAATACAAAGTTGAAATACAGGACAAACATATGCAATAACAGTCAAATGTTCCGAATAAAGAATGAATGTTACAAATAAAGGTCATAATCAACATACGAATAATGAACTCAAAATACAAAGCGATACCAATGATACAGCTGTGTATGATAATGCAGTTAAAGTGCTCAATGTATTACATCATTCCTTTTGCACTCATTGTGTCCCACAATATCTATACATGTTACTTTTTTGTATCGAGCGTTCAGTCATTGTAACTGGAAAAGAGGCACATTTTGATAAAAAGTATACTCTTGTAATCTGCCTAATTAGTACATGTATTTTAGTACACAACCTTCAATCAACACTCATTTAACACTTAACATCTACTCTTTCAAATCGGGTCAATAATTGCAGTTACATTTACACCATGACAGAAAATTAAACATTTTACATGTGTCAGTTATATCATTGTTGTGATAGTCTGAGGTTGACCAAGTGCCGCATTCTTGCACAACATTCACTTTTCCCATCTTAGGAAAATGTGTGTCAGAAATATAACTTGGCATCATGTAACACTTTCGTTATATTCTTAATACACTGAGCATTTTGGCATGCATTTATCATATACACGGTGTAACAAGCTGATTAAACTTGGAATGTTTAACAAATTGCACTGCCATCTGCCGTTCTTTTTTATCAACAGTCCTTCAGCAATTCAGTGTCCTTTTTGTGCACCAACGTTCTTTAGTACACCTTGTTTTTTGTTTGCGAGTTGTTCATTGGTATCGTTTTGTATTTTGAGTTCATAATACACATGTTAACAATTAATCTTTATTTTACCATTTACTCTTTACTCGTTACATTTGACAATTTGTCCTTTATTTAAACTTTGCATTTTTAGACAGGATGGCCGCCCATTGTTCAGTTTATTTGAAAAGAATAATGATTGTTATATTAAGTTTTATTTGCCACTTGTTTGCTACACATTAATATGTTGCCCACCCACCCACCTGCCAGTGCTTGCGACATCATATGGGCTGGAAGGAAGTAAATCTCTATGCAAGTGTATTTGTATATGAATTTATAAGTACACAAGAATAAAATGTGAGAATATAAGTCTCCATTTGTTTTATCATTTCAATGGTTTAAGAAAAGAAATTATTTCATGTCATGTCCGTGTGAAGTTTACAGTCTCGTTAAAACCACGTTATTTGTCTTAACATATAGAGAAAATATGCTCAGAGAAGATGATTTTAAAAGAAATATTTTGTTGAGTGGAAACTCAAGCCAGTGACTATTAATCAGATAGTAGAGGAAGTGGCGTTGTAAGGAGTGGCAGTAGTGCTGAACTGCTCACTGCAGGGTGGCCAAAAAGGTCAGCAAGGCCACAGGGTGAACCACCAGATCAGCAAGGCCCACAGGCTGAACCACCAGATCAGCAAGGCCACAGGGTGAACCACCAGATCAGCAAGGCCACCGGGGGAACAACTAGATCAGCAAGGCCACAGGGTTGACAACTAGATCAGCAAGGCCACAGGCTGAACCACCAGATCAGCAAGGCCACAGGGTGAACTACCAGATCAGCAAGGCCACAGGCTGAACCACTAGATCAGCAAGGCCACTGGGTGACTCACTAAATCAGCAAGGCCACAGGGTGAACCACCAGATCAGCAAGGCCACAGGCTGAACCACTAGATCAGCAAGGCAACTGGGTGACTCACTAGATCAGCAAGGCCACAGGGTGAACCACCAGATCAGCAAGGCCACAGGCTGAACCACTAGATCAGCAAGGCAACTGGGGGAACAACTAGATCAGCAAGGCCACTGGGTGGACAACTAGATCAGCAAGGCCACAGGGTGACTCCCTAGATCAGCAAGGCCACAGGGTGAACAGCTAGATCTAGTGAGTCACCCAGTGGCCTTGCTGATCAGCAAGGCCACAGGGTGAACAGCTAGATCAGCAAGGCCCACAGGGTGACCCACTAGATCAGCAAGGCCCACAGGGTAAACAGCTAGTTTAGCAAGTCCACTGGGTGACTCACTAGATCAGCAAGGCCACAGGGTGACGCACTAGATCAGCAAGGCCACAGGGTGGACAACTAGATCAGCAAGGCCACAGGGTGAACTAGATCAGCAAGGCCACATGGTGAACATCTAGATCAGCAAGGCCACTGGGTCACTCACTAGATCAGCAAGGCCACAGGGTGACGCACTAGATCAGCAAGGCCACAGGGTGGACAACTAGATCAGCAAGGCCACAGGGTGAACTAGATCAGCAAGGCCACATGGTGAACATCTAGATCAGCAAGGCCACTGGGTCACTCACTAGATCAGCAAGGCCACAGGGTGAACAACTAAATCAGCAAGGCCACAGGGTGAACAGCTAGATCAGCAAACCCACAGGGTGACTCACTAGTTCAGCAAGGCCACAGGGTGATTCACTAGATCAGTAAGGCCACTGGGTGACTCATTAGATCAACAAGGCCGGAGGGTGACTCACTAAATCAGCAAGGCCACTGGGTGACTCACTAGATCAGCAAGGCCACTGGGTGAACAGCTAGATCAGCAAGGCCACAGGGTGAACAGATAGATCAGCAAGGCCACTGGGTGACTAACTAGATCAACAAGGCCACAGGGTGAACAGCTAAATCAGCAAGGCCACTGGGTGACTCACTAGATCAGCAAGGCCACTGGGTGAACAGCTAGATCAGCAAGGCCACAGGGTGAACAGCTAGATCAGCAAGGCCACTGGGTGACTCACTAGATCAACAAGGCCACAGGGTGACTCACTAGATCAGCAAGGCCACAGGGTGACTCACTAGATCAGCAAGGCAACAGGGCGACTCACTAGATCAGCAAGGCCACTGGGTGAACAGCTAGATCAGCAAGGCCATAGGGTGACCCACTAGATCAGCAAGGCCACTGGGTTAACAGCTAGATCAGCAAGCCCACAGGGTGACTCACTAGATCAGCAAGGCCACAGGGTGACTCACTAGATCAGTAAGGCCACTGGGTGACTCATTAGATCAACAAGGCCCCAGGGTGAACAGCTAGATCAGCAAGGCCACAGGGTGAACAGCTAGATCAGCAAGGCCACAGGGTGAAAAACTAGATCAGCAAGGCCACTGGGTGACTCACTAGATCAACAAGGCCCAAGGGTGACCCACTAGATCAGCAAGGCCACAGGGTGACTCACTAGATCAGCAAGGTCAGAGGGTGAATCACTAGATCAGCAAGGCCACAGGGTCACTCACTAAATCAGCAAGGCCACTGGGTGAACAGCTAGATCAGCAAGGCCAGAGAGTGACTCACTAGATCAGCAAGGCCACAGGGTGACTCACTAAATCAGCAAGGCCACTGGGTGACTCATTAGATCAACAAGGCCCCAGGGTGAACAGCTAGATGAGCAAGGCCCCAGGGTGAAGAGCTAGATGAGCAAGGCCACTGGGTGACTCACTAGATCAACAAGGCCCCAGGGTGAACAGTTAGATCAGCAAGGCCACTGGGTGACTCACTAGATCAGCAAGGCCACAGGGTGACTCACTAGATCAGCAAGGCCACAGGGTGACCCACTAGATCAGCAAGGCCACTGGGTGACTCACTAGATCAGCAAGGCCACTGGGTGACTCACTAGATCAGCAAGGCCACTGGGTGACTCACTAGATCAGCAAGGCCACAGGGTGACTCACTAGATCAGCAAGGCCACAGGGTGACTCACTAGATCAGCAAGGCCACTGGGTGAACAGCTAGATCAGCAAGGCCAGAGGGTGACTCACGAGATCAGCAAGGCCACTGGGTGAACAGCTAGATCAGCAAGGCCACTGGGTGAACAGCTAGATCAGCAAGGCCAGAGGGTGAACTAGATCAGCAAGGCCACTGGGGGAACAACTAGATCAGCAAGGCCCCAGGGTGAACAACTAGATCAGCAAGGCCACTGGGTGTCAAACAGTATCTCAAACAGAGACAAGAAACATAAAAAATAAATAAATTGGATGTCTCAAATGGATCTGTAGACCCATGTTTGAAGCAATCCACATTCAGCGCCTCCACCTCCTGTCACTGGGGTAAACCACCCAATCCTCAAGGCAATCAAATAAATAAATAAGACAAAATGACAGTGAAATCAAGTGTTTTACTGAAATCTGTACAACAGTCATGTTATGTCACAATTTCCTCTTAAGTAGTTCTCTAAAGTTCTTAAAAATGATAATGATAATAATATTGTTGATTGATGATAAAGTAAACCGTGTTGCAGTCCTGCTAGATTAACTGTCACATCATCTGGTCTTCTGAAAACACCAGGGAAGGAGGAGAGATTGTCTGGCAATGCCATACATTACATATTCATCAGGTAAAACACGAAATGGTCTCATGTATAGTCTGGAAGGTAATTTAAGGTACCGACGTTTACTACAATATCTGAAAAACTATCGGACCTACTCCAGTCAAAGTTGGTATGAGATTATTAAACAGTCATACATAACTGGATATTACATTTAAAGACAATGCAAGACGGTGCATGAATAAAAAATCTGTCTATTTAGCTATCATTATATTCCATCAACAACCAGACCTGTTCGTCACGGGGGGAACGAGGGTGACAGGGTGAAGGTTGAGACGCCCAACGCTAACACCGTATTCGTGCGTGCGTGATTCCCGTGCTCCCTTTCGAGTTGAGTTGATTGGTTCAACTGTGTCGCAGGGGTAGCATTATGCAGATGGCTGTTTCAATGAATGCTTGTTCCACCCGTGACGAACAGGTCTGGTTGTTGATGAAATATAGTGATAGCTAAATAGACAGATTTTTTATTCATGCACCGATTGTCTTTAAATGTAATATCCAGTTATGTATGACTGTTTAATAATCTCATACCAACTTTGACTGGAGTAGGTCCGATAGTTTTTCAGATATTGTAGTAAACGTCGGTACCTTAAATTACCTTCCAGACTATAGTGTAGGGAGTCTTCTCAGCTTTGCCCAATATGTACATGGCAAACAACACTGTATGAAATACTGGCTCAGTGGTAAAAGAACGGACATTTTACAAACTCCTTTCTTATACTACTCAACAGGTGTCTACAGAACTGTATGTCTTGCAAGTTTACTGAACCACGTTCATCAGTTTGCAGTAGTGGTAGCTCATACAAAATATATTCTGAATAAATTTGGTTAAAATATATTTCCTGTTTGGTGTCTATTTGTAATTAATCCCAGCCATAAATATAGTATTCTCCTTTGGGAATTATTGAGTTGTTTACCCTACTTCCCATCCAGCATAATTCTTCTCACCGGGCTAGCGTCATAGTAATTACAATAATTTCACATCAGAATAACTTCAAGGATCTTCAAAGACATATTCATGAAAATGTTTATTTCTTTTTCTTTTCCTCAAAACATTCACCACATTGTCTCATCTTTCATACATGCATACAAGAAACAACCTCCAACTTTTTGTAAATAAACATGGGATTTTGTCCATGATTACTCCCCACAGCACAATTTCTGTAAGTTTCAGTCTCCATGGAACCAACTGATGGGAACAAACATTTTCAACATTTCTTAACATCATTTTCAATAAATAAGCCTTTAAAACATAGCACTATTGGTCAGTCAGCATGAGACTTGGATGAAATGAATCTTCTACGCAAACATACATGGATGAACACAATGTGAGGACATCTAAACCAAAGAGGCTAGGGTCAGTTGAGCTTAACACACTGCTTTAACCTTGCTCACAGAAATGTACTAACAAAAGACAATGGCTTTATATACAGGCACAATCAATGCACCACAAGCACAGGCAATAATTACCATACATTCAATGTCTGACATCAAAGGCACCCAGCCACTAACAACACAAATTGGGAAAAAGTTGTTTTTCTGATACTGGGCAGGAGAAAGGGAGACAATTTCAATATATTTCATAACAAAGGCCCATGAACCAAATGAACTGTCTGTAATTTTTATACTTTTAAATATCCCTATGCAGAAGACTAGGTTTCAAAAAGTGCCTTCTACAATGCTAAGTCGTGCCAGTACTTCAATGAGACACCGCAGGAGGCCAAGTAACCACTATATCATGCAGACGGGTAATATCAGACTGATTTCACTGCGCTTTCATCACCAACGGATTTCCAGTGTTGTAAATTGGATACCAATATGTAGTGCAATATTAATTCAAAATAAATCTTTGTATTCTTCATAAAGTTAAAAGTAAAGCACTTATTTCTTTTAAATAGCACTACTTAATCATTCATAGAACACTAGAATAGGTGAGGAGGAATTTTCATAAAAGTACATAAAATAGGAGGAACAAATCTTTCATTGCTGGGTTCATGATTAGAAAATCAATTAACATGAAAATTATCAAAAGGTTTCATTGAATCAACTAAATGAAAGTTATGTATTAATTGACAGAGATCATGAAATCTTGTGCTATATTAACTCCTGGCTTGCGAATTGAAAGGACATGTTTGGCTGAATCAAAGTTGAAGCCTAGATTCTTGGTACTTCCACCTGCAAACAGAAAATGTATACGTAAGAGATATATCAGGCACTGAGGATACCTGAAATTCCAATGAACACCATTAGCGTCATGTTTACATGCTGGTGCTGACAAGTCCTTCAGTGCCGTAAGGAATGCACTTAACGCAGCTGAACAGTAGGTTACTTGTTGTATATGTGGAGGAAGTCTTCTAATGCTTTCACTGGCAATTTCTTGGATAACTCAGATGTGATACAGCTGTGCTGTAACCTACTGTCTGAGAACCCCCATCTAGCCACCTCCTACAACAGGCCTGAGGTAGCAGTAAGCTACTGTCTGAGAACCCTCATCTAGCCACCTCCTACAACAGGCCTGAGGTAGCAGTAAGCTACTGTCTGAGAATCTCCATCTAGCCACCTCCTACAACAGGCCTGAGGTAGCAGTAAGCTACTGGCTGAGAATCCCCATCTAGCCACCTCCTACAACAGGCCTGAGGTAGCAGTAAGCTACTGTCTGAGAACCCCATCTAGCCACCTCCTACAACAGGCCTAAGGGAGCAGTAAGCTACTGGCTGAGAACCCCCATCTAGCCACCTCCTACAACAGGCCAGAGGTAGCAGTAACCTACTGTCTGAGAACCCCCATCTAGCCACCTCCTACAACAGGCCTGAGGTAGCAGTAACCTACTGTCTGAGAACCCCCATCTAGCCACCTCCTACAACAGGCCTGAGGTAGCAGTAAGCTACTGGCTGAGAACCCCCATCTAGCCACCTCCTACAACAGGCCTGAGGTAGCAGTAAGCTACTGGCTGAGAATCTCCATCTAGCCACCTCCTACAACAGGCCTGAGGTAGCTGAGCTACAAAGTATTCCGGAGTGGGGAAAGTCAAGAACTGCAGTGTACCTACCTGATTGAAGAACAACTGTTTTGGGAGCCTGCATCACTCCAACTATTATAACTTTTTCCAACCACTCTTTTGTTGGGTAACTTCCCTTTGGATCTAAATTTCTGAAAGAAAAAATATCAAACCTTGTTAGGTGATCATTATCACACTTCCAACTAATGCATGGTGGTAGTAATTCTCTGAAAATCTCTTGAATGAGACATAAATCAAAAGTGGCTAATGACAAAACATCTATGACAACAGCACAATTCATATTTAGATCCTAAAATATTTCCAATATCTCCAATTCCCATTGTTTCCTTATTCCTAAGTTGAGACTGGTAATTTGTGTTTACAGCTGCAGGTAGATTCCAAACCTGGAAGGATACACAGTGCTATACACTACACTACCACGTTCATACTTACTTGCTCTCAAGAGTGTTGCCCTTGTAGGTAAAGCCTCTATTAACATAGTGGCCATTTTTAAACTGGTATGTGTGGTAGTCATCTGCATATAATTCTCCCTGAGCCTCGCCCTGTTTGTGGAATAAAATACAAACTCATTCAAATAAAAACTATACCATCTACGAGAAGGAAAAATCTAGTTGAACAATATTGTATTTGCCATATTAACCACCCCTTGACCAACTTCTTTACCAATCTGTTAATAATCTTAAGTGCCCCCAACTAAGACTGAAAATTTACATCATAGTTAATATTTTGTGTATAAAGAAATGTGAAAAAATATGTTCACTACCAAATTTAACTAGTTGTGCATGGTTTTGATAAGTGACGCCTTTCAAAGGTCTAAGCGCACAAGGCTCATATTATGGCAATGACATCAACTCTAAAAAAGGGTCAAACTTAGGTCATTTTGTATTGCAGTCAACAGTTTAGAAAACTTCCCAAAGTGCAAAAAGGATTAAGAGTGGTTCAGTTTTAAAATGTCTGGTACAGGATCATATGACCCTACAATGTATTCAAACAAAACCTTAATGCAACTCCATTGCACATGGCTGCTGAGCTAACTGGTGATTGTCATAAGCTAACTCCCCGATTCAACAGCCATATTCACATGCCTCTAATTGATGTTCACTGGTTGCTGATGACTGCATGCAGCCGGCCTCCAGTACTTACCCGCTTGTCAAGACAGACAACCAGAGTAAATGGATCATCATACATGAGGGTGGACGATCTCCTGATTCGCATTTTCCGGGGAACAATAGTGCCTCCTCTCTGATAAGCTGGGATCTGAGGAAGATAATCACATGCATGCTGGAATTAAAAACATCAATTTGTTTAAGAGATCAAGCTGGCAAACATGACTGGGATTGACAACACACTATGAAACATGTGAAGGTGATCGCAGGTCACAAGTGAACTGGCCTACCTTGTCGAGTGCTGCTGCCACGCTCTTCTCCTGCTCCCCGTGGTGGATGTCATACGTGAACAGGTCATACCACAGCTGAAACAGGCAGAACACTGCAGTTCAACTACCACCTGCGGGCTGTCCAGCTCTACCAGTATTCTCTAGCAGTAACAACTCTTAATTTGTTTTGACATTTGCAAGCCCTATATAATTTACCATTTAACTAAAGTATTTATCCTTGACATAAAAATCATGTAAGTCATACCCTAATGACATAAGTATGCAAATTAGATAACTGGAAATGGCATGTTTTTCACTGGTTCACATGAACTGGTGATCCTTCAAACAACAGAACATAGATTCCTTTAGATTCATTTGGTGATGTTATAATAGATAAAAGGGGAGTGACACAGTGTTGCCAAATTGCTATTAAAGGTCACCGGATGGTTACTGATTGATGGTATTGAATTTGAAGTTGACTGTCATAGATACAGTCTGTAGATAACATGCCCATGACCAATTTCTTGACGAATGATGACGAGCTGTATGCCTTTGGTATGCCTTACTCATGCAACCCACTTTTTATTGGAATTTGAACCAAGAAAGTCAAACTATTCACTGTCATGAAAAATGTGTCAAGCAGCCAGGTTCTAGATGCCTAAATGACTTACAAATCACTTGCATGTACGCCAAGGGTTGAATAACAACAATGTTAAACCAAATAAAACCATGCAGATAACTGGTTAAAAGAACAACCAATCTGTCACTAGTGACCTTCACATGTATGCTAACCAACACGAAGAGATAGCAATTTCATGCTAGACTTTGTGTTTCTCACAGTTTGCTTTCACAAACGGATCAAAGATTAGATAGATGGATACATGGATGGCTAGTTTATTCAGTACAGTATATAAGAGGCTTAATGGTGTAAAGTACAAATGATTGATATTGTATGCTCAGTCACTTAAGGTTAAGACATTGGCTAACTGTTGCAGAAATCAATATAATCAGAATATAACATATTTACCATTACTTGTCTACATTTAACAAAAAAATAAAATACATGGAATTCATCTTCAATTTCACCAGATGTACAAAGGATAAAAGTAGCAGTACTGGGATTAACATCTTTTGACTTAAGGAGAATATTACATTATTAAGTGACACCCTAAATTTAAGAAAACAACAACTGAACAAGCATGAAATACTCACATCCCCCGCCAATATGACATGTCGGGTGTGTGCAATGCATTAGCTCCTGTGAACTATGTTCACTGGGCCTTTTTGTAAAGAAATATAGTACGTTTTTCAAGATCTGCTCTGGAAACGAGGATTACCTCCATTTTCAGTCTAAATCAAAGTCGTTGCCATGGAAACTCGAAAAATAACTTTAAAAAAAAATCCAAAACTATCCAAAGGCACCAGTTCACCACTAGACCTATCTATGTGCCAAGTATTACAAAGAAATGTGGTACGGTTTTCAAGATCTGCTCCGGAATCGAGGACTACCGCCATTTTCAGTCTAAATCAAAGTCGTTGCCATGGAAACTCGAAAAATAATTTTTTTTTAAATCCCAAACTATCAAAAGGCACCAGTTCACCACTAGACCTATCTATGTGCCAAGTATGACGAAGAAATATGGTACGGTTTTCAAGATCTGCTACGGAAACGAGGACTACTGCCATTTTCAGTCTAAATCAAAGTTGTTGCCATGGAAACTCGAAAAATAACTTTTTTTTAAAATCCCAAACTATCAAAAGGCACCAGTTCACTACTAGATCTATTTATGTGCCAAGTATGGTTAAGAAATATGGTACGGTTTTCAAGATCTGCTACGGAAACGAGGACTACCGCCATTTTCAGTCTAAATCAAAGTCGGTGCCATGGAAACTAAAAAAATATTGTTTTTAAAACATGCCAAACTATCAAAAGGCACCAGTTCACCACTAGACCTATCTATGTGCCAAGTATGACGAAGAAATATGGTCCAGTTTTCAAGATCTGTTCCGGAAACGAGGACTACTGCCATTTTCAGTCTAAATCAAAGTCATTGCCATGGAAACTCGAAAAATAAAAAAAAATTAAATCCCAAACTATCAAAAGGCACCAGTTCACCACTAGATCTATTTATGTGCCAAGTATGGTTAAGAAATATGGTACGGTTTTCAAGATCTGCTACGGAAACGAGGACTACTGCCATTTTCAGTCTAAATCAAGGAAACTAAAAATATATTGTTTTTAAACATGCCAAACTATCAAAAGGCACCAGTTCACCACTAGACCTATCTATGTGCCAAGTATGACGAAGAAATATGGTACAGTTTTCAAGATCTGCTCCGGAAACGAGGACTACCGCCATTTTCAGTCTAAATCAAAGTCGGTGCCATGGAAACTCGAAAAATTTTTTTTTTTTAAATCCCAAACTATCCAAAGGCACCAGTTCACCACTAGATCTATTTATGTGCCAAGTATGGTTAAGAAATATGGTACGGTTTTCAAGATCTGCTACGGAAACGAGGAGTACTGCCATTTTCAGTCTAAATCAAAGTCGTTGCCATGGAAACTAAAGACATATTGTTTTTAAACATGCCAAACTATCAAAAGGCACCAGTTCACCACTAGACCTATCTATGTGCCAAGTATGGTTAAGAAATATGGTACGGTTTTCAAGATCTGCTACGGAAACGAGGATTACCTCCATTTTCAGTCTAGATCAAAGTCGTTGCCATGGAAACTCGAAAAATAACTTTTAAAAAAAATCCAAAACTATCCAAAGGCACCAGCAGTTCACCACTAGACCTATCTATGTGCCAAGTATGGTTAAGAAATATGGTACGGTTTTCAAGATCTGCTCCGGAAACGAGGACTACCGCCATTTTCAGTCTAAATCAAAGTCGGTGCCATGGAAACTCGAAAAATAAAAAAAATTTAAATCCCAAACTATCAAAAGGCACCAGTTCACCACTAGATCTATCTATGTGCCAAGTTTGGTGAAGAAATATGGTAGGGTTTTCAAGAACTGCTCCGGAAACGAGGAATACCGCCATTTTCAGTCTAAATCAAAGTCGTTGCCATGGAAACTCAAAAAATAACTTTTTAAAAAATCCCAAACTACCAAAAGGCACCAGTTCACCACTAGATCTATCTATGTGCCAAGTTTGGTGAAGAAATATGGTACGGTTTTCAAGATCTGCTCCGGAAACGAAATGTGACGGCCGGCCGGTCGGAAGACGGACAGACGGCACCCATTCCTATATCCCCCTTCCACTTCGGGCGGGGGATAATAAGTGATGTAACTAAATGAGTGAAGTATATTTCAGCCCACAAGAAGATGTTAAACAAATGTAATTGCTGAGATGTTTGGAGATACATACTGAATCCTGAATCGTGCTAACTTTGTAAATATATCTTTAATTATCTGCATAAATAAACACAAAAACACCTTTCATCTCCAACATATTGAGCAACCCACACATGACCAAACCCTCATATAATAACCTATATCTTGTGAAGCCCAGTTATATTTACCACTGTCAAAGAATTGCTTTAACATTTTATAACATTAATAAGGAGATCTCCATGTCTGCTGCATTTTCAGTAGTTTTAACCAATATTTCAATGTTCTAACTTGACTGAAAACAAACATTAGATACGTAGCCATTTCACCCAGAACATCCTTATTTGAAGCATATTTACCTATACGACAAAACATTATTTAATAGGGCTTATGCAACTTTCAATGTGGCAATACTTCATTTACAAATGTCTAAATGACTTGTCTAAATCAACAGTGAGACCCCATTTACAAGGGAAGGCTTCCAATACATACAGTAACTTCCATAAACCATGACCAGTATAATAAACAATAACATGTCATCAGCAAGTAACAACGCGATATCTTCAATTTCTTGTGACACAAACTTTCACATTCTGTTTTGATAATGAAAACATACTCATTTGAAAAGAATGAGTGAGTGATGATTTTACAATGCTTTTGGCAATATTCCAGCAATATCACAGCGGGGGACACCAGCAATGGGCTTCATACATTGTACCCATGTGGGGAATGGAACACGAGTCTTCAGCGTGATGTGCAAACGTTTTCCCCAATAGGCAACCCGACCACCCCCGTTTATAAAGAAAATGAATAAAGCGGGGCTAAAGCTACAACTGCATAAGATCCAACCAATGGTGAATCTTACCATAATCGAAAATGTATTCATATACGATATACGATAACCATGAAAAGCATGGTTGTCAAGCAACCTTAAAACTACAGGCAAAACACTGTGCACATGTCCAGTACAGCAACAATAGGTAGGTGTCGTGATGCTTTATGAATAAATAACATTGTCTATTTACATTCCAAACATTGAGTTACTGACATTAATATCATGATTTACAGAAGCTATGATATCAAAAGAGAAAGGAGGTTCTAAGGAACCAACTGAAATTCTGAAATGCATTCTGTTTTTATCATTCATCTTTGATATTGAATGGACCATGAATTCCTTTTTCAAATCAATGATCAGTGGAATGTGGCCGTGACGTTATTGACAGAAACACAGGTGGATAATGTACAAGACCTACCTCTCCTGTCCCGGGGAAGTACACAGTGGTTGTCGAAGCCCCCTGTTCCGTCACAGGCTTCACCAACAATGCGGGTCCTGGAGGGAAAGAGGGGAACTGTCAGGTTTATTATATCAGCAAGTGAACCATGTCAGTCCCCACCTTTAGTTGGATGCTAATTGAAAGTCTTGAATTATTCCTTTAAATGCCATGAGACTTCAGTTATGCTGGTTCTGCAGATCAGACTAATTTTTCATTTAGGAGAAAGATACAGTCAGCTAAAAGTGTATACTTTTTAAAACAGTTGAAGTTTGAATCTACTGTATATCAGAGACGCGCCAAAGATAATTCTATTTTTCACATGAGTTTGCATATGTATGATATTAATATATAATCATTCTGACACAACAGATTGCAACTTCCTTCTTCACTTCAATCATATAAAACAGAACCCAAAATGTGGCTCTTCTGCATCTGGGGTGCCCCTGTTGTCCTTGTGTACATTCAGAGTTATCTGTCCTTGAGCCCTCATTGTTTTCTCATTAGTATGTACAGTCAAGTCTCGTTAATCCGTCATCGTTGGTTGCACATGATTGTGTCGGATTAACGAGTATGTCGGATTAACGAAATTAAGTGATTTGTGATTGAAAATCGGACATCTTCACGATAGATAATAACCGTGTGTACCTTGTAATAAAATCATTAAAAACGAAATATTTATATTGTTATGTTGTTTATTCATTCATTCCTTAATTTATAATTAATGACATTGCAATAATAATAATAATTTTCCCATTTATACGTAACAATAGAGACATTACTCACTGAATATATCACATCAACCACACACGTTTCCTCGTGTAAATGCAAGTGCTACTGTCTTAACAACTTGCTTCATCTACTTAAAATAGTCTGTCACTGTTTTCTGTTTCTCACATTTTGAAGGCACATTTCTCAAAGTCCCCTGTTCGCTTGACGTCTAGGGCTTGTGGTTCTTCAGCATCAACATTGTCGAGGTGTAATTTCATTTGCTGTTTCTTATAATAAAGCTTGAAATTCTTTATGATCCCGGCATCTAGTGGCTGAATGTGCGATGTGGTGTTTGGTGGCAAAAAGTGACATTTCACATTAGTTGTGTCGACAGTAGCATGGGATGGGAAGTTGTCGAACAGCAATACCACGTGGCGTCGCTCCAATCGCATTTGCCGATCCAAGATCAGTAGCCAGGCTTTGAATATTAATGAAGTCATCCATGCTTTCTTGTTTACATACCAGTCGACCATGTTTTATATACCTGTTCGTATTTTAAACTGGCTTCATGCACATTTATCTGGCTTCAATCTGTAAACTACATTTGTATAGCTTCGTACATACAGGTTTGAATAGCTTTTCCTGTTAATTGTTAAAGTTAATCTCTGCAGCCAGTGAATGTCAAAAAACGGGGTTGTGTACTCGCGGGCAGATGACCACGGAGTACGCTGACCACTGTGTTGGATTAACGAGACTGATTAATGAGTGATTTCGGTAATTCGTTGCAAATTAGGTGTGTCGGAGTCGGAGTGCAAGAATGTCGGATTAACGGGACTAATTAGCACTGAATCAATCGGTTCCCATCATTTGTGTCGGATAAAGCCGAGTGTCGGATTAACGAGTGTCGGATTAATGAGACTTGACTGTATACTAACATCATGAATATGCAGATTGATGTAGATTATTTCTGATCCCGACACAACACATGGCAGTACTTAGGCCACAGCTGGAGGCATGCAGGGTCTGACAGGATGACATGTTGGCTAGGCTAGCTGTGCTCAGAGTGCACCCTCTTCACTATTCCAATGTAACCTGTCACAGCCTTATCTATCATGCAAAGCTATGCTATCTAGTATCTCTGCGGCTTCCGATACGTGACACCAGGAGGATCGGAACTTCCAACAGTAGTGCATAGCTTCAAGAGCCCAGTAATCCCTCAGAATATTTATTATGACGCTATGTGGCAGTAGAGAAATATCTCTTAGTGGTAGCTTGTAAAGATGATCTGAATGCCTAATACAAACCATTATCGAGTGATTTGGCTGCAGCCTCACGTTGTATCGTACATCAACAACAGTTTGATAATCCAACTAATGTTTTGTTGTGTCATCGTTACTCGCCCCCAAAACATGTAGTCCAGGTCTGCATCATTCAATACAACACTCGGAGGCTCAGAACTAAGGACAGGGTGAACTGCAACAACAGCCCAACAATCCCTCAGAAAATTTACTGTGACACTATGTGGCAACCACTCTGCAGTAGTTTGTAACAGTGACATGAATGTTTGAAAGCTGAAGCATTGATGAGTGTTATGGTTGCAGTCTCAATTCATATCATCTATCATCACACAATGGCCGGTGCTTTTCTGATAGAGCACCCAATAGCCATGAATGCCTCCACATGTGCAGAGCCTTATCTTGGGCTGAAAGTGCCTGTTTTGTGCATTAATGATGAGGTGCGTTTCCCATGGTGAAGTCACATGACTGGGTTTCCTGCAATCTGTTTAGTTCCAGGAACCGCAGTCTTCTGGGCCAAATCTTAAAGTTGTAAGAGACACAAACACATGAAAGTTGCTATTGCTGTCGAGAGGGCATATCCTCTAATCTCAGACGAAAAGCCCATGTAGTGATGCTGATGGCATCACATATCCAGATAGCCAGGAGAGGTGAAGTAGTCACTGGAAGAAACTCTCACATTCATAATGTGGACGAACCTGTGGTGACAGGTTATAAAAACTATAGCAGCCTTGGTCAGCAGTAAGATGGAGAAGGATGTTTATGCTGATAGCCATACACCATAGCACTTATCCAAGGATGGTGTTGTCTCTGCTAACATTGGATACTACACCAAAAGGTAGTGGGATGCTGAGTACTGTATAATAGGGTAGGCACCGGCACCTGATTAGATGCCAGATTCAGGGTAGTTTGGGTCATCCAAGGAAGAATGACAATCCGAGGTGAAGTACCAATCCCTAGTAAGAACTTTGGTCTGACTGCAGAAACCGGCACCGACACAACGGCTGGCAATCCAAGATGAAGAGATGCTCTGGTGGAGGATAGTCCTGGTGACAATGTACTCATCCTAGCCATGGGGGGTCAAGGTTCCTAGCAGGAACAAGGTTGGTCGGCAATATCCACGTCATGGCCAACAAAAATCAGAGTGATGTGGAAGTCTTCATGATATTGGATACCACACTGACATAGTAGTAAACAGTGCTTGTCCTGGGTAGGTGCTAATGCCAGTCCCAGAAAGAACACCAATCCCAAATGGAGCGCCATCACAGAGGAGGTGAGGTGAAATGGGGTTTAACGTCGCGTCCAAGATTATTGCACTTATATAGCGACGTGCATGTGCATGTGTGTGTGTTTGTGTGGCTGCTTGTACTAGTCCGGACTGATGCCGATTTATAGTGCTAGCTCACGGAGATACCATGCCGCAGTTTAACATGAATACCCCACTCAGACACAGTATACTTACTCCGAGCCGACCAGTTCTTGTTTTAGCCCCTTAATGCTGAGCGCCAGACAGGGTAACGACAAGTACCATCTTTTAACGTCTTTTGGTATGACACAGTCGGGGATCGAACCCCGGACGTTCCGCTCTCCGGGCGGACGCTCTACCACTTACCCACGGAGGCGGTCCATCACAGAGGAAGGCTGGTTACAGTTAAAGAGCCGGTCATGGAGATACTTGTGCAAACGCCAAGAGGCATAACAGGGGGCGATACAAGATGAGAAGAAACGCTGGTTGAAGACTGTCCTGTAGATGCTGACATACATGGCACCAAGCGCTGAACATTGGCACGGAGGGTGAAGATCGCCTGTCCAGGAAAGGAAACTGCGTCAGCCAGCGATGTAGTCATTATGGCCGGCACTCCTGGAGGTCATTATGACAGTTGCCGGCTACCTCTCTCACTCAGTCCTCATAAATTTGATATGCTCTAAAATAGGCCTCAAAATGCTCTGAAGATACAATTTATTACACTGCTCACATCTGGAATTTAAGCAGCTAGACAGGAGAAGTACACATCCTCATGGTTATTCTTGCCATCCTCTGTGTAATAAGACCTATGTTAAAGGATTAAATTCCCAAAATGAAAGTTCATGTGTATCTTCTTGCGTGATGAGAAGGAAAGTGAGGGATCAAGGACAGTTAACTCTGATTGGTTACCAAGGGCAACATGCACCCCAGATGTAGAAGAGGCACATTATGTTTTCTGTGTTATATTATCGAAGTGAAGAAGGAAATTGCTATATGTTGTGTCAGGATATGAAATAATATCTGATTTAATGAATTAAGATGATTTGCTTGACTTTCTTTTTTCAAATTGTTTCTTTATCTCAGACAACACATGGATATTATTTAGCCACATTAAGCCAGCGGTGCACCAAAGGGCAGCTGTTGGAGCTGGGTTACAAAGCCCTAAGGCCCTAATCAATCCTCTTACCAAGCATGAACTGAGCATCTATGCCAAAGATGGCAGTTTCCTCCGGGAATTCCACCCACATGGGTTGAAAGATGGGGCTGCCACTCTCCACGGACTTGTAGAACTGTGTGTACATGTAGGAAAGCAGAGTGTAGCGGGTCCTCACAGCATCACGGATCACCTTCATGTTGTCTTCAGGCAGGAGGTAGGGCTCTCGGCGCTTTGTATCCAGGTGAGCATGAGCTCGGAAGAATGGGTAGAATGCTCCTGCCTGGAGAAGTAGTTCAATCATTCTTTTAACAATCAATGATCTGGCATATATGGTACCAATTATCCAGCAAGGAATAATTACCAATTTACAAATATGAAATGAAATGGTATTTGTCACAATAAAATACATGTACTTCAACACTCACATGTTGAGTGAGGGTCCTTATAACTGGTGGCATACCTGGTACCATCTTGTGATAAGCTCCACGTCAGGGTTTCGGAAGAAGCCACCAACATCAGCCCCTGAGAATGTGATACCCGCTATGTTGAGAGACATGATCATAGGGTTGGCAGCCTTCAGATGGGACCACTCACCAATGTTGTCACCCGTCCATACAGCACCTGGAGACACACACAGACATTATACACTCACAGGTTGCTGGTACAACATGCACAACAGTAGAGACCCAGAGGTCAATAAGGAGACAAGTCATTACTGATATGTGTAGCATCAATGAGTAGCAAGTCCTCACCATATCTCTGCGATCCTGAGAAGAAAGCCCTGGTCAACAGGAAGGGTCGGAGGTGGCTGTCAGATCTCTTTAACAGTCCATCCCATGTAGCTTTGTGCTGAAAAATATAACAACTCAATTAAGATATCTGAAGCAAGTTCTGATACAACCTCTCCCACAGGTGCTACACTGCCAAAACATCTGTGTGTACACTTGAGAGACTCACCACGAGGAAGCCATACAGGTTGTGGACATCACGGTTTTCCCAGTCACCATGGTGTTTCACATCCTTCTGGAATGTTATCTCAGGGCCATTGAAGACCGATGGTTCGTTCATATCGTTCCACACAAAAACATCTTTGGATGAGCCAGGGTATTCTGTGTAGGCAAACTTGCCAGCCCACCATTCCTGTACTGCAGGGTTGAAGAAGTCTGGCCAGGCTGAGGACCCTGAGAAAGATGAAACGCATTATCAGGCAGACGTAACCAGAGGCAGATGTAGGTCCAACAGACATATGTCAGACACACCTGTAGACAGACGAATGATACATCTGGAGACAAAGAGAGTTTCCTTTCAACCATTGACTTCATACTAATAATGTGACATGAATAAAGTATCCACATGACGAGTGTCAGAACTGACTTGGCTGACACTGACATTGCAGCTTACCTGGCCAGCACCAGCCTTCATATTCCCCACTATCCTTGTTCTTCACGTAGTAATCTTGTGCTTTAAGGTCGGCGTACACCTTGTAGTTGTCATCCTTCTTCAAGTGAGGGTCGACGATGGTGACCAGCTTCCTGCCTCTGGAGACGAGGTTGCCCACCATCTCCTGGGGGTGGGGGAACTTGTCTCCGGCCCACGTGAAATAACTGCAAGCAGGAGCATGGGGTAAATATCAATGCACACACACTGAGGAGACCCGGGTTGACACAAACTATAACATATTTTCTTAGGGGCAGAAGACTGTTAGTACCCTCCCACCTGGCAGAGATTTCTGTATCTGTCTCAATATGTTTTCAGTATGGCTAGCAAGTTTAACATAGTACTTATTTGACAGCAAGCAAATTAAAACACAAAACTTGGATTCGGGGCAAAATGTATGAACAGGACATACTGGAATCTGACTACCGTAGTGGCAATACCTACAACAGCAGTGACCCCTAGTAGACTGTGTATGCACAAACACTACCGTTGGTACTAACCGTTTTCCATCTGTGTGTTCAATATCCAGCCAGATTACATCAAATGGAATATCATGTTTATCAAAGTTCTCAGCAACTCTGAAATGTGAAAAAGGGTGATATTATTAAATATTGATATACAATTTTTTCAAGCATATGCTTTTCAGAAAAATTTAGTAAAACCTAAATATTTTTTTTACATTTGTATACTTATCCTGCATTGCTCCTTAATGCATTTACTGCTGTTTTTTGACAGAAAGACAAAGCTGTGAGAGGTTCAGCTGTAGAAGATCACTGCATCGGGTGGGCACTTAGACGAAGTAATGCAGGATAAGACAGTACGGCAGGTGGGCATACCTTCAGATATGACCCAAAATAAATACCCAAGTAACCAGTACGGCATCCTGCATGATGACCGGAAAACAATGACCATTTCTGTTAGAAGGAAAACAAGAGTGTGAGGGATGCCGGAAGTCCAGGTAACAGTACAGTAGTAGATAAATGCGAGAACTAAGGTCTGGAACTGCGCACTGAGCTGATGCTCGTAGCATGTAAACCGTCTAGTCTGGGGTGACAAGCACCAGAGAGGTTGAAAGGTCAGCTCTGGGCATAGGGAAAGCATCAATAGCGCTTGGGGTTGGTGACTTGCTGGGCTGTTAACGGCTAATCTTGTCTGCGAGGTCATGAATAACGGTATAGTCATCTCCTGGCACCATGTGCATGAACTGGGCATAGGTGGAGTTCCTGCTCATCCACTATTAAAGTGGGATGGTGAAGGATCGGTCTGGCTGCCCTGGGAGTTGATTCTTGCTATGAAATCTCATCGGCACTGTGCGCCAGTGGACAAGGGTGGTGTCAAATGCATGTAGCTCTTTCACACTTGCCACAGTAGCCAGAGCCAAGAGGAAGACTGACTTCTTGGTGAGGTTGTATAATGAAGCTGAGTGAAGTGGCTCAAATGGGGCATCACGCAGCAACTAGAGAGCCATATTCAAATCCCCCCCTGCCCTTAAGGTGTCTTTCACTGTGCAGGAACATAAGAAATTCCGCCAAGAATGGGGGAGATGCAGTAGTGGGGTCCTGATGTTTCCCTAAAGAAACTCTCAAAGGACTGCCACATGTCATAATTTTTTACAAACCTGAAGAGGTTATGAATTCTCTGATGAAATCCTCCTTGGGGCACTTATTGCATTTTCCAGGCTTCAGAAAATCTACATGACATGTTGTAACTATTTTGTAATAATAACTATTTTGTTCCTAATAAAATATTACCACACTAAAAAACAACGTTTTTTTGTGTATGATGTACGACCACCAAAAAAGGGCCTCTCCCTACTTTGGCGCCAAACGCCAAGGGAAACAACTCACACCCAATTCACTTTCCATATGTCTTCTTGCAGACGGTATGTGGGGCGGTGGGTGGCCGTGCCCCAAGGAGGATTTCATCAGAGAATTCATAACCTCTTCAGGTTTGTAAAATTCTCTTTCTGATTAAATCCTCCTTGGGGCACTTATTGCATAAAGACAGACTCCCAAAGATTACTTAGGTAGCGGCATCCGTCTGCAACAAGCGTAAATAACAAATCGTTTTAATAAGAGAGTTCCTTTATTTTTTTAAAAACCAACCTTATCGTATAGCTCCACCGTTGAGAGGCGGGGGCTGAAGACAGGGCGTGGTTGTAACCAAAGTTGATAATTATACTTTAGTAAATATTGAAAACTCAAATACACATCCCCCCCCCCCTTTTTTCACCGTATACAAGTGAATTTGACGGGGACTTCGAAAACTATAGCGAATCCCTTAGTCAGGCTAGAGGGTCCCCGTAGTATCGAACGAGTGTTTTTAGAATCGAGTGTAGATCGTTGAAAGATGACGTAATAGATGGCCAGTTTAGTATATAAACAGGTGTTGTTGAGTCAAACTAATATATGACAGAACTTTACGATCACGAAGGCTCAATCGGCTAGAGACGTAGAGCTCTGTCCAGTGCGGAGTACTGCTTGACCGAACCGAGCACGCTCCTTAGAGTGTTTGTCGAGTTGGTAATGCTTGATGAACGTGCTCGGCCGGCTCCAAATAGCCGCTGAGCAGATCTCCTTAATGGGCAGAGCCGCGGCGTACGCTTTATCCACCGCGAGATAGACTGTTTGCTCGCAGGGGAGCCAGGCTTCCCACCGCCGTAACAGCAGAATAATTGATTATCCTTACGGATACCCATAGTTCTGCTGATATAGACCTTAAGAATCTTGCGGACATCCAAGACATGAGCATGTCTTGCAGAGGTCCCCGACAAGGAAAGGCTGTGAAAGAGCAGGTAGCTCGATAGGAGCGGTCACGTGGAAAGCGTGTGCGACCTTGGGACGGTGAGAATCCGGTAGGCGAATACTGATTCTGTCCTGGTGAAAGATGGTCAGCTCGGGATCGGCGGACATTGCGTGAATGTCGCCTACCCGTCTACCTGACGTCACCGCCACAAGGAACACTGCCTTCCAGCTCAACAGCTGAAGGGAGAGAGACGATAGATCCCGAAAGGAAGGACCGGACAGCCAATCAAGAACGATTGACAAGTCCCAAGGGGGGCTAATCCGCCGGACAGTCGGTCGGATCCTGTCCACACCTGCTAGAAAACGCTTCACTAAAGGGTGCGCACCCAGAAGTGCCCCGTCGATAGGTACATGAAAAGCTGCAATAGCCGTGGAGTACCCCCTTACTGTCGATGCGGCCAATCCGTCGTCTAGTCGCGACTGGAGGAACTCCAGGACAGCTACTAGATCCGCAGAAAAGGGATCTGGAACCCCCCTATCGACACACCATCGCGCATAGCAGGCCCATCTATCCTCATACTGAACGTTTGTCGAATCCCTCCGCGAAGCCAGTATTGTGTCTGCAACTAGTGCAGAAAAAGCCGCTCTTCTGGAGGCGATTCCTGACAGTGGCCAAGCCACCCACTGAATCCTGGGATTCGGGTGGAGGGCCCCGTTCTGGGATAGTAGGTCCGGTCTTAAAGGTAATAGAACAGGAGGCTGAGCCAGAAACCTGAGAATTACGGGAAACCAACTCTGCGCCGACCAAAGAGGTGCAAGTAGCACAAGTAGTCGCGCAGGCTGAGTGGCTAGCTGAGACAGGACCCTGGAAACCAGAGGAACTGGTGGGAAGGCCCACAGAACTCTGTCCGTCCAATCTAGCCGGAAGGCATCCGGTGCCACCGACCTCGGGTCGGGGACTCGGGAGCAGAACGTTGGTATCTGGTAATTCGCTCCAGACGCAAACAGATCCACCTGGAACGACCCGTACAACCGGGAGATATCTCCGAATATCCCCAGGTCGAGCCTCCACTCGTGAGAAGCGAGGATCTGGCGAGACAGAGCGTCCGTGCGGACGTTGTCTACCCCCGGGAGATAAACAGGTATCGCACCACAGGAGGAACTGCCACGTCTCTTGGAGGAGTGACGTAGACGCCGTTCCCCCCTGCTTCCTGATGTAAGTCATCGCCGTTTGGTTGTCCATCTCTAGACGAACCACATGGCTCCAAAGCATATCCTGGAAGCATTGGAACACCAACCTGACCGCTCTCAGTTCGAGCACATTGATGTGCAGTGAGATCTCTTGCTGGGACCATAGTCCCGATGCTGTGTGATCGTTCAGAACGCCTCCCCAGCCGGAGAGTGACGCGTCTGTTTGAACTGTGAGAGACGGAACGGGAGTGTCGAGGGGGAGCCCCCGGGACAGATTCCCGTCCTCGGTCCACCACTGAAGGTGTGTAATGAGCCATGTCGGGGTCTCGAGTATCGTCCTCCGAGGTCCTCCGAATTCGCCCATAGCTGGCGCAACGCTTGTTGAATAGGTCGCATTCTTAAGCGCGTTCGCCAAACCACATCTACTGTCGCCGCCATGTTGCCTAGCAACTGGAGCCATGTACGAGCAGTGTGCCTGTTGGAGGTAAGGAACTGTAAGGTTACGCTCCTGACCTTGGCAATGCGGTCTTGAGTTAGGGAGACAATCCCTCTCTCTGTGTTGAAATTCGCCCCCAAGAAAGTCAGATTCTGAGCTGGGGTCAGATCCGACTTCTTTAAATTGACTATCCAACCGAGCGTAATTAGAATGTCTAACACCTCTTGTGTAGCCATCTGGCTCATGTGGTGAGATAGTGCACGTAGTAATCAGTCGTCGAGGTACGGGTGACATAACCGTCCTTTCGATCTGGCAACTTGGGCAGTAATCAACATCAGCTTGGTGAACACCCTCGGGGCCGTAGCGATCCCGAAGGGTAGAACCCGGAACTGATAACACCCCCTGTCGAAAGAAAACCTTAGGTATTTCTTGAATTCGGGGTGTATGGGTACGTGGAGGTAGGCGTCTTTGAGGTCTATTGACGTCAGCCATTCCCCTGTCTCTACAGCGGAGATCACTGCACGCAGTGTCTCCATCTTGAAGGACGGTACCTCTATTAATTTGTTCAGCCTTCTCAAGTTGAGAATGGGTCTGAACCCTCCGCCTTTTTTGGTGACAAGGAAATAGGTCGAGTAATAACCCTTGTTTTCCTGTCCCAAGGGTACTGGTTCTATAGCCGCCTTCTGTAGAAGCGCTACGACCTCGGCCCTTAGTATTTCTGCCTTCTCTCGGGTAGCGGGCACTGGGGTGTGCCTTATCCCGGAGAAGGGTGGCGGAGGCAGTCTCCATTGAGGCAAGTGGCCTTCCCAGAGTGTGGACAGGACCCAGGGGTTGGATGTTACCTTCTCCCATTCCGACAGGAATAGAGTAAGGCGGCCGCCTACGGGGACTGCTGGCTTGAGGGAGTGAATCCCAACAGTAGACAGTTCTGTGACTGGTCTTTGTGGGTTCACCTGGGCCGTCCCGAGGGTTACTGGGAACCCTGTGGGTTCCCTGCACCTCGAAAAGGCTGCTGGGGTTTACCCGCGCCTCGGCCCCTGCCTTTGCCTTTCTTGCCCCTCCCCGAACCCCTGCCTGATGGAAGCGGCTGCTTCCAGGAAGGCTTGGGTTGCCCAGCCGGCGTCTCGACATGGGAGAAGTCAAGTGGGGATGACCGTTTGCGGGGCTTACTAGGCACTTCCAACAAGGCTTTTGAATCCTTGATGGAGGCGTAGAGCTCCGCGGCCTCCCGAACTACCTGCTGCGCCCCCGGGAAAAGGGTAGAACCCATCCGAAAGGGAAGCGCCAGTAGCTCTTGGCGTGTGGATGCTGAATACTTAGACACAGACATCCATAGCCTGCGCATGCCCATGATTGCGCACATCATTTGGGAGGCACAACTACGTATAGCGTCCCTCGCCAAATGACTATGTACCTCAGTGAGTTGCCTGGCTAACTCTGATGAGTCGCTCTGGCCCTCCCCTATCAGCTCCCTCTGCACCGCAGACAGGTACGCTGAGTGGACCGTAATCCGAAGCTGTTGGCCGGCATTACGAAACTGCTCCTTGAAGCAGACGTAAGCCGCCTTCAGCTCGGTGCCACAGATTGGGAAGGGAGGCAATCGCCGGCCCTGCTTGGCCTTAGCCAAAGAGGGGGTCGAAGACCCCCCCAGGGTCACCGAGGTCCAGACGCATTCGTCGACCGAAGGCACCTCAAAATCCTCTGCCATAGGGTACCGTTTAATAAGTTCGGGTAGGTCTAACTTTTTTCGGTTACCCGATAACAGAGGATCGATGACCTCGTGCGCCAACGATGACAGAATACCGAGTCGCACCTGGGGCGGCTTGCAAAGAGCAAACGCGTCCCCCGGAAGGCGGAACTCAGACGAGTCCGACTCGGGAGCGGTGGCAGCCACCTGCGGCAGTACTTGGGCTATTTTTTCCCGTACGTGTCGCAGAGAAGAAGCGAAGGAAAAACCTGCAGGGGTCTCCGAGCCTTCCTCTCCCTCCTCCATCGACTCCTCATCCCTAGTCTCCGAGCCGAAGGTTAACTCCTCAACCAGGGAGGAAGTAGACGGTATCGGGAGCGGACACTCAAAGGCCTGCGACCTCCGATCCCCCGGCTGTCCCCGGCCCGAAGCCGAATCCCGGTCCCGAGGTGCTGGGGGTTCGGAAGAACCCACCTGACCACTGGGCGTGGAACCACAGGTCGAAGCTTCGGCCTCCGAGAAGGCCTCCGGCTCCGCCTGGGAAACAGGCACGGAGGAAGTGAACGGGCCGGCACCCGCCACCCCTCCAATGGAGAGCGATCTCGATCCCGAGCCTAAGCCCGGTCTCGAGTCGTCCCCGAGGCCAAGCGGCCTGCCACGGCCGACGCCGGGCATTCCACAAGGCCCCGAGGCTGCTTCCGACACCCGACCTTTACCTTTATTTCCCCTACCCTTACCCCCTTTACTTTTGGAAGGGGGGGGGGGGACTGACTTATCCCTAATGTCCGCCCCCGCCTCAAGAAGTCTCTTGTAGTGCAAAAGATCAGCATGGCGATTCTTGGACGCCTTGGGCGTGAAGCAGAGACAGACGGGGCAAGTTTGGTCATCGTGACCTAGTTCCGCTAGGCAGCGAATACACTTGTCATGATTGTCCTGTGTGGGGATATTGGCCTCGCAACCGGAACACAATTTGAAGGCCTGTAAGAGACCGTAATTTATTTGAACCGGTGTGCATGTATGTTTCATGTATAAGTGCATGAGATATAACAGAAACAAACATTAAGGTGCAGTGCAAAGGCGTAATGTAATATACGATATAATATATATACATTATAAAGGAGATAGTATTTAAAAAACAAGCTTCTGACGTCCGATATACGGAGAAAGCCTGAGTTAATTTATTGAGACGTTAAGGGTCTCCTTTTAATTAAAACTTCAGGTTATAATTACGTAGTTTACATTGCAATGATAATGAACAACCATGTCGTTTTTATAAACGATCATGAGTTAGAGTATCAAAAAAACAATGATGACTACCAAGCGGCGGCCATTACTTGAATGGACGTGCCACGTACGCATGGACGCCGAATTTACAACATCAAACTTTTAAAGGAAATGCGAGGTGTTACGCCTTTGCAAAAGAAAAGGAAATGTTCCTGAGCTGTCATGTACGTCTTGATTGGCGGATGACATGTGGAAAGTGAATTGGGGGTGAGTTGCTTCCCTTGGCGTTTGGCGCCAAAGTAGGGAGAGGCCCTGTTTGGGTGGTCGTACATCATACACAAAAAAACGTTGTTTTTTAGTGTGGTAATAATTATTAGGAACAAAATAGTTACAACATGTCATGTAGATTTTCTGTAGCCTGGAAAATGCAATAAGTGCCCCAAGGAGGATTTAATCAGAAAGAGAATTACCTCGTAGAAGGTCTGTGAGCAAAATTTATAGCTGTTGCACTGGCCGGATTACCCTTGGCGCCTAAGGCCCTTTGCAGATATACCAGAACTGAGATGAAAAACCTGTCTGCTTGGCCAACCTGGTAGTTCCAGGAGGTCGTCTGTGGCCATGTCTTTGCAATCCACAAACCAGCCCCTCGCTGGCCACCAAGGCGTGATCAAAGTCAGAGCAAGGCTCTTGGTTGCTTGATCTTCTGCATCTCCTTGGGAAGAAGTACTGGTGGCAGAAAAGTATACGCTTCTCAAGTGATGCTGAATGCGTCCGGCTCCAAGCCTGCAGGTCTCGGGGATCGGGGAAAAGTTGAGATCTGGTTGTTTTGGCAAGTGGCGAAGAGGTCGATGTTAGGATGATATAGGAGAAGAAATACCTCAGGAAGGAGCTGCCCTTCCTGACCTAGATAGAGTGTTTGCCAGAACATTCCTACATCCGGGCATGTGCTGGACCAAACAGCATAGGCCCAGCCAATCCACCAGATGGAAGAACCGGAATGTCTGTCGAAGGAGGGAGTGAGAGTGTGTCGTCCCCTGATTGCGTAGACACCGAACCACCGTAATGTTGTCGGTGGATAAAAGAGAGTTGAGAGTACTGGAGTTGCTCTTGCCAGTGTGATATCGCCAAAATGAGTGCCTCCAATGTGCTGTGCGGCGGACAACCGCTCTGAGGTCAGCTCTTGGCCCTGAGGTCGTCTGGTCCCAAACCTGTAAAAAAGCATCTACGAACAGGAGGGACTTTGGGGATAATTCTGTTAAGAAGACGACACCTAAGATGTTCGACTCTACCTCCACGAGCTAATATGTAATAAAGTAGAATGAATAACCAATACAAAAGAAAATATTTCACAATGCACAACACGTGTGGTGAATTCAAAATGGCAGAATGGAACAACCATACATTCGTAATTACCATGACTAAATGACACAAATGAATTGAAAATAAAGTACCCTTTGATAGGGGCAAAAAGGCACAAACCATAAACAAGTGAAAACGAAGTATAAATAAGAAGCAAAGGATGTTGGAAAACTGCAGATGCTTTATTTCTCAACAACACGTCTGTCCGTGTTGACTGACAAAGCAGTAATGTGCTCTTATGTGATGTCACCACTTCTTGGTAACGTAGCAGCTGTGTGAGGGTATTGCTACATCTTCTGCAGCTGAACCTCTCACAGCTTCATCTTTCTGTAAAAAAACAGCAGTAAATGTATTAAAGAATAATGCAGTATAAGTTAAAAAAATAAATAATTCTAATGATGACATGATATTTCTATTTTGAACAGAAAGAAGTTCTTACGATTTGACATCATCTTCATCGTTGTAGTTCCATCTGCACTGGTGGTAGGCAATGGAGAAGAGCTGGAACAACAGAAGAGACATGTACCCATCAGACACGATCAAGTGAGAATACTGTTCCCCTGACTGGAGGTGATACTGTTCCCCTGACTGGAGGTGATACTGTTCCCCTGACTGGAGGTAATACTGTTCCCCTGACTGGAGGTGATACTGTTCCCCTGACTGGAGGTAATACTGTTCCCCTGACTGGAGGTAATACTGTCCCCCTGACTGGAGGTGATACTGTCCCCCTGACTGGAGGTGATACTGTCCCCCTGACTGGAGGTAATACTGTCCCCCTGACTGGAGGTAATACTGTTCCCCTGACTGGAGGTAATACTGTCCCCCTGACTGGGGGTAATACTGTTCCCCTGACTGGAGGTAATACTGTCCCCCTGACTGGAGGTGATACTGTTCCCCTGACTGGAGGTAATACTGTTCCCCTGACTGGAGGTGATACTGTTCCCCTGACTGGAGGTAATACTGTTCCCCTGACTGGAGGTGATACTGTTCCCCTGACTGGAGGTAATACTGTTCCCCTGACTGGAGGTGATACTGTTCCCCTGACTGGAGGTAATACTGTTCCCCTGACTGGAGGTAATACTGTTCCCCTGACTGGAGGTGATACTGTTCCCCTGACTGGAGGTGATACTGTTCCCCTGACTGGAGGTAATACTGTCCCCCTGACTGGAGGTGATACTGTCCCCCTGACAGGAGGTGATACCTTGACTGGGGTGGGGTGGTGGTTATTGACCAGAGGTAATATTGACCCCTATATCTCTATATTGACCAGAGGTAATATTGTCCCCTTGACAGGGGGCAGTATTGACCAGAGGTAAATGTATTGCCCGGAGGTAATACTGTCCCCTTCCTTCACAGGGGGGGGGGGGGGGGGGGGGGGAGAGAGAGGTATTGCCTGGAGGTATAATTGTCTCATGAACAGACAGAAGGTACTGACCGGCGGTAGTTCTGTGGTCCCAGTGAGCGCTCCATACTGTTGAAACACATCCTTGGGACGCGGTCCCAGCAACACAAACACATCAATGACCCCACTCTCAGAGAACCAGTGTGTGTCTGTCCTGGGCAGCTCTGTATTACCTTGAACCATGTCAGCCACTTTGGAGAAAAATGTCTGCAACAGATAATAAACTGAGGTGAAACACAATCCCAGATTATCAGGTATGAATAAAACCTAGAGCCAATACACTGCTGCTAACCATGTACATTCAACTACACAGAATGGTCAGCTGTCTACATTTGGCAAAGCAGTTTTTTTAGTAAAAATGTCATTTTCTCCTAAAAATAACGTTAGGGAGGGAATAAAATCTTCAAAAACTTAATCTGTGTTTGTGGTTACTTCAGCACGTGACTCTTTCATGATTTGGGATTTTGAAAAATACTGAACAAAGGTACCAGTTCACTACTGGACTGATCTGTATAGCAAGACTCATCTAAAAATATTTAATGGTGTTGGGAGTTCTGCTCCGGAAACGAACACTACCCCCATTTCAGTATAATACATTTGAATTCTAACACACCTTTATTATCATGCTGATCTGTTATGCTAAGGCTATAACAACACACTAAGACACATGACAATGTAACACCTAATGATGCTGCTGAGCCATACTGTGTACCTTGTCTGCCACAGTGGAGCTGATGTCAATCCACGTCTCTGCAGCATTGTGCCAGAATATGCCGGCTGTGTTCTTTTTGCTGAAAACATGGCAATACACCCAGTTTAGTCAACAAATATTTAGTGTTTATCAGGCTGACCATCAGGGGAAAAAAATGTAACATGAACTTGGTAATGTTCAAATCACCACTGTAGTGAAGAAGATATGTGAGTGTCAGTAATATTTTCAAAGATGGCGAGGCTGATCTGACACAGCACAATGATCGAAAATGTCTCTCTTGAGGAATAGATAGACACTAGCATTAGCCTGAGTCCGTGTCATAGAGTGGTAGTGGTTGGGAGGAGGGGGGGGAGGGTACTCACTTGTGTGCCAGCATGAGGGGAACTGCGCCGTAGAGAGCCATGGGATTATACAGGTCATACTCAAACACATCCAGGTTGAACAACCGATAGGGCTCAGTGTTTCTGAAATGAAACAATCCCGTCATTCCAGATGACCAAGCAGAGCAGTAACATGGAAGCAACAGCACAATTGTCGAAACTAACTTAACTAACGTCACTTACTTTGTTGATTTGAGAGCTAGGCTTTCTGCATGTTCTGGAATTCCATAAACAAAGTCGAAGCCCGGGAATGAGATGTCTATCCCCACAGATGTTGGACCTGCAACAGACCGGGCATCTGTCAGTGGGGCAGTGGGACGAGTTCAGTGCTACAAGCAGGACAAGGGTTTCACCTGGCTATCAACTCATGCTCTAGGTGACAACATTTATAACAGTGTACCACACCTGCAAAGAACTTCTGGCCTGTCTCTCCTTCCAATCAGTCATTTGTTTCAAAGTGACTCAAAATGAGTCCATGTAGCTTTTAGTGAGAGATGTGCGTGCATGCACTCACCGTGAGGCTTTCAGTGAGAGATGTGCGAGCATGCACTCACCGTGAGGCTTGGAGTCTGTGAAGGACTTGAAGGTCTCTTCCCACATGTCGGCCTCCTCATCTGTCTTCTCCGGAGGCACCTGCTTCTCCTCATCCTCTTCTCCCTCCTACAGAGAACACACACTACAAGGCTGGCATCACTTCACTTATACATAGCCAGGAACATGGTACAAGGTACATATATATCCAACTACAATCAACCCTTGTTAAAAACTCAAAGCTTCACATTTGTCTAGCTATGACTTATGTAATCATTTGCCACTGCTTAATGAGACAGAGCAAGTACAAAAATCCCTAAGGTTCACATGACATAGTTATAACCACACACAGACCCTCTCATGCATGTTATGCTGAAACTCAGTCAACCACATGACCTAGGTTTCATTCAAAAAGTGGAAGTGATCAACTACAATTATCTCTTGCAAAACTTGGTCAATAGAAACTTGATGAGTATTGATGCATAATGGCCCCCTTCAATCTAGTATGTAATGTTTGTTGATTATACCAATTGAGTTACCAACCCATCCACTTCAGAAATGTGTGAGCAAACTATACTACCTGTAACAATGGCCTCACCTGGTGAATAATATACCATAAGCATTTACTCACAAATCTAACAGTGATTAAGGACAAAAGGAATGCTCCCATTACAGGTCACATCATGAAAGACAATTTGATGATCTTTGACCGATGAACGAAATGACGACAAGAAGTCAACATAAGCCAATCAGAGAGCATCGTTCTCCAGCTCAACTGCAGCTTCAAACTTGGTGACTTCCATTCCAGAATGTACTTCGAAAAATATTTGACAAAGTTCTCAATTCAAACTTTGAAATCTGAACAAAAACATATACTGGAATGTCCAACAGACATAGGCAGTACTTCACATGGGCTATTGAAAGTCTTTTCCATTTCAAATGTTTATTCTAGTGAAGTGAGAGATGATTGATTTTGACGTACTGCCTGTAACTGTCATTTAGAATGCCTCATGTTAACATTCTGAAGATTGCATGATAAGAAAACATATTCAGACTTTCACTGATCTAGTAATCAACGTTCTGATTGGTTGGATGAAATGTTGATCTGACGTTACCTGTAATGGGATGTTTTTAGATCTTTGTTTCACGATGTCCAGATCTAAGATCTAATTTTTTTTATAGATTTGCAAAGATACAAACTATGCAACTGACACATGAACGTAAACAAAGTAACTCACCTTCTTTTCCTCCTCACCCTTATCTTCTGCAGGAGAGTCTGGCTGTTGCTCCGCTCTGAAAGGGGCGGAAAACCAAGAATATAATCCCGAGCCCATTCTACTCAACCAGCCCCTACAAAGTGGATAGAAACATTGTGTTCCCAGAGATCTAGATTAGAAACATGTATAGCAAAAAGCGGAGGTGCATGCAGCTACACACAACATTATCACAACACTGACTCCACACAAAACATGTCATGAAGCTACTTCTAATACAATGCTGCCAAAGGCAAATACTTTTACTATCAGCATCAAAACATTGGTCAAAACAGTGGTGAAAACATTCCTTGAACACAACAGGTGCATGCCAAACTAAATTACAGACAACCCATAACCTCAATCTGTTAATAGCCAATACGTAATACTTTCTATAAGATATCAATTTGTTCCAATTAACAAGTCAGATTATCAGATGAGTTTCATGTTGTCCTCATCCCAAAAGGTGAGTGCATGAGTTCTAGAACACTTCTCTACATGCTCTAGTCTACACCCTCACACACCACCACCTCTCTACACCCTCACACACCACCACCTTCTCTACACCCTCACACACCACCACCTTCTCTACACCCTCACACACCACCACCTTCTCTACACCCTAATACACCACTGCCTTCTCTACACCCTAACACACCACCCCCTTCTCTACACCCTAATACACCACCCCCTTCTCTACACCCTCACACACCACCCCCTTCTCCACACCCTCACACACCACCCCCTTCTCTACACCTTCACACACCACCACCTTCTCTACACCCTCACACACCACCACCTTCTCTACACCCTAACACACCACCACCCTTCTCTACACCCTAACACAACACCCCCTTCTCTACACCCTAACACACCACCCCCTTCTCTACACCCTCACACACCACCCCCTTCTCTACACCCTCACACACCACCGCCTTCTCTACACCCTCACACACCACCACCTTCTCTACACCCTCACACACCACCACCTTCTCTACACCCTCACACACCACCACCTTCTCTACACCCTCACACACCACCCCCTTCTCCACACCCTCACACACCACCCCCTTCTCTACACCCTCACACACCACCACCTTCTCTACACCCTCACACACCACCACCTTCTCTACACCTTCACACACCACCACCTTCTCTACACCCTCACACACCACCACCTTCTCTACACCCTCACACACCACCACCTTCTCTACACCCTCACACACCACCACCTTCTCTACACCCTCACACACCACCCCCTTCTCTACACCCTCACACACCACCCCCTTCTCCACACCCTCACACACCACCCCCTTCTCTACACCCTCACACACCACCACCTTCTCTACACCTTCACACACCACCGCCTTCTCTACACCCTCACACACCACCACCTTCTCTACACCTTCACACACCACCACCTTCTCTACACCCTCACACACCACCACCTTCTCTACACCTTCACACACCACCACCTTCTCTACACCCTCACACACCACCACCTTCTCTACACCTTCACACACCACCACCTTCTCTACACCCTCACACACCACCACCTTCTCTACACCTTCACACACCACCACCTTCTCTACACCCTCACACACCACCCCCTTCTCTACACCTTCACACACCACCACCTTCTCTACAACCTAATACACCACCACCTTCTCTACACCCTCACACACCAACACCTTCTCTACACCCTAACACACCACCCCCTTCTCTACACCCTCACACACCACCACCTTCTCTACACCCTAACACACCACCCCCTTCTCTACACCCTCACACACCACCACCTTCTCTACACCCTAATACACCCCCCCCTTCTCTACACCCTAACACACCACCCCCTTCTCTACACCCTAATACACCCCCCCCCCTTCTCTACACCCTCACACACCACCACCCTTCTCTACACCCTCACACACCACCACCTTCTCTACAACCTAATACACCACCACCTTCTCTACACCCTCACACACCACCGCCTTCTCTACACCCTAATACACCACCGCCTTCTCTACACCCTCACACACCACCCCCTTCTCCACACCCTCACACACCACCGCCTTCTCTACACCCTCACACACCACCGCCTTCTCTACACCCTCACACACCACCACCTTCTCTACACCCTCACACACCACCACCCTTCTCTACACCCTCACACACCACCGCCTTCTCTACACCCTAATACACCACCGCCTTCTCTACACCACCACCTTCTCTTCACCTTCACACACCACCGCCTTCTCTACACCCTCACACGCCACCACCCTTCTCTACACCCTCACACACCACCACCTTCTCTACACCCTAATACACCACCGCCTTCTCTACACCCTCACACACCACCGCCTTCTCTACACCACCACCTTCTCTACACCCTAACACACCACCACCTTCTCTACACCACCACCTTCTCTACACCCTCACACACCACCACCTTCTCTACACCCTAACACACCACCCCCTTCTCTACACCCTCACACACCACCACCTTCTCTACACCCTCACACACCACCACCTTCTCTACACCCTAACACACCACCCCCTTCTCTACACCCTCACACACCACCGCCTTCTCTACACCACCGCCTTCTCTACACCCTCACACACCACCCCCTTCTCCACACCCTCACACACCACCCCCTTCTCTACACCCTCACACACCACCACCTTCTCTACACCTTCACACACCACCGCCTTCTCTACACCCTCACACACCACCACCTTCTCTACACCTTCACACACCACCACCTTCTCTACACCCTCACACACCACCACCTTCTCTACACCTTCACACACCACCACCTTCTCTACACCCTCACACACCACCACCTTCTCTACACCTTCACACACCACCCCCTTCTCTACACCCTCACACACCACCACCTTCTCTACACCTTCACACACCACCACCTTCTCTACACCCTCACACACCACCCCCTTCTCTACACCTTCACACACCACCACCTTCTCTACAACCTAATACACCACCACCTTCTCTACACCCTCACACACCAACACCTTCTCTACACCCTAACACACCACCCCCTTCTCTACACCCTCACACACCACCACCTTCTCTACACCCTAACACACCACCCCCTTCTCTACACCCTCACACACCACCGCCTTCTCTACACCACCACCTTCTCTACACCCTCACACACCACCGCCTTCTCTACACCCTCACACACCACCCCCTTCTCTACACCCTCACACACCACCACCTTCTCTACACCCTAACACACCACCCCCTTCTCTACACCCTCACACACCACCGCCTTCTCTACACCACCACCTTCTCTACACCCTCACACACCACCGCCTTCTCTACACCCTCACACACCACCCCCTTCTCTACACCCTCACACACCACCACCTTCTCTACACCCTAACACACCACCCCCTTCTCTACACCCTCACACACCACCACCTTCTCTACACCCTAATACACCCCCCCCTTCTCTACACCCTAACACACCACCCCCATCTCTACACCTTCACACACCACCACCTTCTCTACACCCTAACACACCACCACCTTCTCTACACCCTCACACACCACCCCCTTCTCTACACCCTCACACACCACCGCCTTCTCTACACCCTCACACACCACCACCTTCTCTACACCCTCACACACCACCACCTTCTCTACACCCTCACACACCACCGCCTTCTCTACACCCTCACACACCACCACCTTCTCTACACCCTCACACACCACCGCCTTCTCTACACCCTCATACACCACCACCTTCTCTACGCCCTAACACACCACCACCTTCTCTACGCCCTAACACACCACCACACTTCTCTATATGCTCTGACATTTTTCCTTGGCAACAAAGAAGCATAAGAACTTACTCTTTTTTACGCAAATGTTCAAACTTGAGCAATCCTTGTGAATTGATGCTGACAACAGGCTCTCCTCCTGAGAAGAAGTCCATCCGGAAGGGGTCTGACAGGATGACCACTTTACTGGTGCCCAGCGAGAAGGTGACTCTGCCTCTGGAGGTCTCCTGCACTGTGATCCTGTCCGGCAGAGAAGGCCACAACTGTACTGACATGATCAATGCAAAAAAGCATGCACTGACGGATAAGCTGCTCTTTCACATACATTCCTAGTCATATAAGTTCAATGAATACCCTGGATCATTTTGGCCCCCAAGTCTCTAAAGGATTTTGGGGCTTCCCAATGGCTGGCATGTGACCCCTATATATCAGTTCTATAGACTAAAGATGTACAAATGTCACTGTGACCAATCCACGTGCCCAGTGTGACTACCTGCTACGAACCATACTGATACCCATGGCTGCCTTTTCAAAATAACCTGTCGACATGTCACATGTAGTAGTATGTAAAATTTATTTTATGTACATATGATCAAGTTAGTGTACCTTAATGTTAGCTTTTCGTTTAATCCCTAAGCCTTAGTCCTCAACCACCCAATCTAACCTGCTTTACTATTACAATAGCACAGTCACTGTTACGCTTGTCTTCTCTATTGTTTCCCTGGGCCCCTATTGTCTAGCCCCAGCCCCTTAAATTCAGTGACAGGGGGCCTCATGGGACTGGTCAGCTTGCAATTTACACTTGCATTTGATCTGTTTTGTAGTTCACTTTTCACTGCTGGATGAAATCGTCATTTCTCACAGGTAAGTTCAAGTGTGAATTGTATATTTATGTGTCGTTATTTAGTGTTTTGGTATTATGTTTTCTAAGGTGCAAATGTATGATTTCTAGGACTGATACGATTGGGGTTTAACGTGTGTTAATGGGGTTTAATGTCGCTTCCAAGATTATTGCACTTATATAGCGACGTGCATGTACGTGTGTGTGTGTTTGTGTGGCTGCTTGTACTAGTCTGGACTGATGCCGATTTATAGTGCTAGCTCACTGAGATACCATGCCGCAGTTTAACATGAATACCCCACTCAGACACAGTATACTGACTCCGAGCCGACCAGTCCTTGTTTTAGCCCCTTAATGCCGAGCGCCAGACAGGGTAACAACAAGTACCATCTTTTAACGTCTTTTGGTATGACGCGGTCAGGGATCGAACCCTGGACTTTCCGCTCTCCGGGCGGACGCTCTACCACCAGACCACAGAGGCGGTTGTGTGAGAGTGAGTGTGAGGTTCAGGTGTGACCCCTTGGTAAGTCAAATTATATACAGTCAAGTCTCGTTAATCCAACAATCGTCTTTATCCGACACTAATGATGGGAACCGATTAAATCAGTGCTATTTAGACCCGTTAATACGATAGTCTCACACTCTGACACACCTAATTTGCAACGAATTACCGAAATCACTCATTAATCAGTCTCATTAATCTGAAGCAGTGAACAGCATACTCCGTAGTCATCTGCCCGCGAGTACACAGCCTGTGATTTGATGCAAGACGAGTCGGCTGGTAGCTGTATATTACAACGGCTGCAAAGATAAACTTGCTTAGCAATAAATAATTAATGCTTTAAATAAAGAATACAGGATTAATCAAATGCTTAGATTACCTCAATCACATTAAAATCAGATACAAGTTCTTGCTATTCCTGTGGACATCCCATTACAGGTCATGTCAGAATAACATTTCACGAACTATGACCAACCAATGAAATGACTAACAGGAAGTCAATGTTAGCCACTAAGAGAGCAACTTTCTTGAGCTTTGTGGTACCAGTTTCAAACTGGCAACTTCAATTCCAGACTATGCTTTTTAAAGTATTTTGAATAAGTCATACAGTCAGTAACACTTGTTTTGTGTTAAGCTTTAGAGGTTGCATGATTAGAAAACATATTTCGTTTACAATGTAACAACAATATGAATTTTTCATTTTTTTATTACGTGTTTGTATCGTTAACTATCGTGTTGCTGTCTGATTTTTCGATCAAGAACGTTCATACTACTTAATTTCCTTTATCTGACATACTCGTTAATCCAACATCATATGCAACCAACCATGTCGGATTAACGGGACTTGACTGTTTATGACGTTGTGACATCATAGGCCACAGTGCCATACACTGGGTGAGGATCATTATGTTGTATATGTATTCATGTTTGTATGCACAGAAATAGTGTGCTATGTATAAATCTAATTATCCCCACTCTCACGCTATTAATAACCTCTGTTTCTCAGTTTATTTTATGACAAATCTTCATTGATATCTAGAGTCTGATAGTAGTGATTTCATATATACAAAGTAATGCAGATGTACTCACTGTTCCGTCTCAGGCTGAGACTTTAAAGCATCTCCCACTGGGATTTCATATCTTGCTCTTAATGGCTCCAACTCATTTAGTTTGAACCGTACAGTATTATGCTTTAGTCCAAATACTTGTAAAAGAAATCGAATATTGTTGTCTTTATTTAATAACTGTAGCTGTATAGATGTAGATGTTTTCTGTATGGAGTCCAGCAGAGCTACATAGGGTGACTGGCCAGGCTGCATTGCACGTTGGCGCCTGAAACAGTAACCACACAGCTTACACACAGGTCAGGGTGACCACACAGCTTACCAACAGGTCAAGGTGACCACACAGCTTACACACAGGTCAGGGTGACCACACAGCTTACCAACAGGTCAAGGTGACCACACAGCTTACACACAGGTCAGGGTGACCACACAGCTTACCAACAGGTCAAGGTAACCACACAGCTTACCCACAGGTCAGGGTGACCACACAGCTTACCCACAGGTCAAGGTAACCACACAGCTTACCCACAGGTCAGGGTGACCACACAGCTTACCCACAGGTCAAGGTAACCACACAGCTTACCCACAGGTCAAGGTAACCACACAGCTTACTAACAGGTCAGGGTGACCACACAGCTTACCCACAGGCCAAGGTGACCACAAAGCTTACCCACAAGTCAAGGTGACCACACAGCTTACCCACAGGTCAGGGTGACCACACAGCTTACCCACAGGTCAAGGTGACCACACAGCTTACCCACAGGTCAGGGTGACCACACAGCTTACCCACAGGTCAAGGTGACCCCACAGCTTACCCACAGGTCAGGGTGACCACACAGCTTACCCACAGGTCAGGGTGACCCCACAGTTTATACCCACAGGTCAGGGTGACCACACAGCTTACCCACAGGTCAAGGTGACCCCACAGCTTACCCACAGGTCAGGGTGACCACACAGCTTACCCACAGGTCAAGGTGACCACACAGCTTACCCACAGGTCAGGGTGACCACAAAGCTTACCCACAGGTCAAGGTGACCACACAGCTTACCCACAGGTCAAGTTACCACATGCACACATAACCATCATGTCAAGGTAACCAGGTCACACATGTCAAAGTTAACACTCAAACAGCTTACTTCCAAGTCAGGGCGAAAACAACCATACGGCTTTTGCCTCCAAATCAGCATATGTCTGTAGGCATTTAATGGTGCGGGTGGAAAAGAAGAAACTTCCTAGTTCTGACATAGTTTAATGCACCTAGGTCACATTATGAAAAGCCTTGAAAATTAATTAAACCACTACTACTACTATTCCGAGAGGTGTGAGAAAAGGCATTGTCATGAAGTAGTGGAACTCCAGCAGTCAGCATTCCTCAACGCTTTGCTTTGATAGATCTCTCAGGCAATGAAGCAAATCAGCACAGTTGGCACCTGTCATCGTCTTTTGACTTTCTAAGTAATCAACAAGGATCACACCCTTTGCATCACAGAATACAGTGACCATAACTTTCTTCACTGATCTTGAAAACTTGAATTTCTTGGAATGGTGCCATTCCAAGGATTGTTGCGTTGACTCGGGATCAAAGTGGTAGACCAATGTTTCTTCACCCGTTACCAATCTCTTTTTGAATTTGACAAAATCCTCAACTAACGCTTAATCTTCTCTGGCAATGTCAGTTCGTTTTTTCCTTAAGACAAGAATTTAGAAACTTTGGCACACAAGGAGCAGATATCTTATTCATCTGTAAATATTCATGAATAATAGTTTCAATGGATCCATGGCTTAGACCTGTGTCTTCCTCAAGTTAAGCAATGATAATATGTCTGACAGTATAAGTTTTTCTATCTCCTTGATTGAATCTTCATTGATGGAAGTTGAGGAATGTCCAGACCTAGGGTCATCGTCAAGGCTTGTTCTCTCAGCCTTAAACATAGCTGCCCAATGTTTAAAAGTGGAATAGCTAGGATACTTATCCATATACATTTGTGGCATGCGGTCATGAATTTCATGAGTATTTTTCCTCTAAAGTCCCAAACATATGACTGCTCGCTACTCATTCTTTTTCATTTCGATGTCCATTTGGACCCCTATCACGTTCAACTGGCTGTCACAAATATACAAACGGACTCAACAGACCAAATACACATGCAATGAAATACTCAAACAATGTACTACATTGACTAGTTCACTTTGTTATGGCTCATAGTTGAAAGTTAGTCAGGCTTAGAACTTTTTGACCAGCCCTTGTACTACTAATTCTAGTACTAGTTAACATGGAAAACAGGTCATTAAGTCAAATTTCCATATAAATTTTTCACATTGGTTATCAAGTCTGGCATCGGTAAAAGGCACTTACTTGCAGAATCCACTTTGACTACATGTTTTAAAGTTGTCCCTGTTGACAGACAGGACTTGTGCTACCAGCACTGTGACAGCTAGTAGGGAACGAAGGACACACATTGTCCACCTGAAACAACATGGATACACATTACAGCTCGAATGCAGGGCACTCGTTGTCCACCTGAAACAACATGAAACATGTAGGAGACACATTGTCCACCTGAAACAACATGGAGGCACATTTTCCACCTGAAACAACATGAAACATGCAGGACACGCATTGTCCACCTGAAACAACATGAAACATGTAGGAGACACATTGTCCACCTGAAACAACATGGAGGCACATTGTCCACCTGAAACAACATGAAACATGTAGGAGACACATTGTCCACCTGAAACAACATGAAACATGTAGGAGACACATTGTCCAGTTAAAACAACATGGAGACACATTACAGCTGGAATGGACACACACTGTCCACCTGAAACAACATGAAGTATAAGGGTTAGTTTGTTTTTGACTGAAGGAGTGTGCCACTTTGGTTTCTCTAAAAAAATTGGCGTTTTTAAAATGAAATGAGATTGACTTAATCCGGACAAGTTTTAACCAATCGCCTGTCACATTCTGTGACTTAGTCATGTTTTGTAATGTAGATAATCCATGCAATTTGTTCATTTTATTTTTAAAAGAGGTAAAAATGTTTAAGGGAAATATATCTTCTTTCGCTAAAGTTAACCAGTTTATATTTTGTAAGGATAAACAATTGCACATTGAGCGATTATCTCCTTTGGCTTTAGGTGTAGTATAGAGCTTTATCACGCACTGACCATGCAAAGCTGTACATTGTATCTTATTCAAGCTGTATCACTGAGAGTAAGTGATTATCTCCCTTACCCGAATAGCTCTATTGCGCACTACCTTTGCAATGTATATCGTATGTTATTCAGGCAGCCAGCAATAAACGTTCCAGGGAGGAAATCAGGTCAAGCATGTAACACACACTCAATCTTCTCCCTTCACACTGCTATTGCAACTTATTGTTCAACACATTTAAATAAAAGGCTTCTATAAAGTATGACTTTGTTCGATAAACAACACATGTAAAACAACAGGTTTGACATGAGAAATTTGTAATTAGTTGTCTTCATAATGACATGTATATGTATATGTTCTTTGCTTCTGGATACATAGGAAATCAACAGGTTGGACAGTAGTTTGCAATTATTTTCCAAAAATATAATATGGTTGCATGATATATTCATGATGTTAGGGTTGAACATAGTGACATTGTTCTAAACATACTTCAAATCTAAACTAGAAGTAATCACAACACAAACCCAGTTAACCAAACTGAGTGAGTGAGTGAGATGGGTTAACATCACTTTGAATAGTATTCCACTTATATCACGGCGTGTCAGCTTGACGTGGGAGGAAAGCCTGGAGTGATGCAGGACTTAGACGTTCACCACTTTGGTGAAACCCACGAGCATGGGTATGGTGCTGACAACATAATCGGGGCAAACCAGGATTCGAGCACACTTTCATAGGTTTCTGAATGCCAAAGGCACACAACTCTGCATAGCGAATTGCAGCGCCTTAGGCGATGGGGCCAACCGTGTTCCCGTGCACAACTGTAACAAACTATCAAAAACAAAGATTTTTCAGACAAGATATGTTTTGCGTAACATTCCATGAAGAAACAGTGGCTGTATTACACTATCACAAACTACAAAAAAATATGCACAGTTAGTGCAAAACACACAGGTATATTCAAAATACAAAGGAGGTACATTATAACAATTATATTTTAAAACAAGTGTATTATAATGATATGGAAACACTATGAGAATTGAGCAAAACTATGGTAATGTTGAACATACAAGGAATTTGTTTATAATTGTAGATATGGTAACTGATCTTGGAAATTGTATCTGGATAACTGTTGGCCAAAAGTATTAAGAATTGTTCCTTTTAACAGACTGTACAAAAACCTTTATCATGATTGTGGAATGTCCCTTTCTTGGTTTGTTTTTTTATACAATATAGTGCATAATGTTGCTTATCTTCTGAGACATCACGTTTCCACAGAGACGTGGTTCTAATGGGGTTGTTTTTTTGTATATCTACCAGTTTCAAATTTTAGTTTGTGATTACTTAAACAAAGTTTTGAGAAATGTGACCTATGAGCTTTGTTTTTACAATATGTAACATAATTCTCAATAGTTATAGATGACTTGACCAACCTGTATGTTTTTAACTTGCTGTTGAATAAATGAGAATCCCTCAAGAATGCATACATTTGGACTGAAGTTTATTTACAGTGGATTCATTACATTTGTTTGTGTTTACTATTTCAAAAATTTGTTTTATTTAACCAAGCCAACATTTTTATCATAAAGATTGATATTTGCTGCCAAAGCATGTTTAGGAATAATATTTGTTGAGTTATCTATATAGGACTTGTAATCAATTATTAGGGCTCCAAGCCGAAAGGCTGTAGAGCCCTATTGTAATCGTTCGATTTATTATTATTATTATTAGGGCTCCAAGCCGAAAGGCTGTAGAGCCCTATTGTAATCGTTCGATTTATTATTATTTATTATTAGGGCTCCAAGCCGAAAGGCTGTAGAGCCCTATTGTAATCGTTCGATTTATTAGGGCTCCTGCCTACAAGGCAAGAGCCCTATTGTAATTGTTCGATTTATTATTATTATTATTATTATTATTATTATTTATTATTATTCCGCCGATTTTTGTTCCAATCCTACCTCCAAAACTACTGCTCAGAATCTCTTCAAAATTTCCACAAAGATAGCTCAGGTCCTGAAGCAGATACCACAAAAATCTCAAGACTCTAGACTCCAAGACTAAGGGCAGATAACTCAAAACAACTCTAAAAATCCCAATTTCAACAGCTCATAACTCCGCCACGAAAGCTCCAAAGACTTCCAAAATTCCTGAACAGATCCAGAATCAGAAGCCAAACAAAATCTCTACACATCCAATGTAGCCAAATTGCTTCGTTTGGCCTCCATATTGGATTAAGTGTTTTGGCACTGTTTTTTAGCAGATTTCTCAGTACTTGACTCCCCAAATCTCCTCAGCTCAAACTACCAGCTCAAAAGCTTCCAAACTCTCCACACTTTGGCTCCAAGTACCATACTAACAACTTCAAACAAAACATATATTTATGTCAAATGTGATATGTTTTCCATTTTCCTGATACCTTACGTCTTGACGATTCCAGAACACCAAACCGTTTGTCTGTAGCTCAATGGACCACGGAGCTACAGCTGTTTAAATATGGCACTCTTTGGCCCAGGTCCAGAAACTTGCCAAATAGCACAACTCTAAACACCCGTAACTTGGCTAAAAGTGGTCCGATTTCGACCAGATTTCGTGTGTTTATGTAGAGTCGGGATGTTTGTTACCACACCCATTTGTAGTGACATAGGAAATAAGACGACGGAGAGAGAAATGATACATAATTAATGTTTAACAACATCTTTCAACATATTGCTCCTAACCAGATCATTCTATAACTCGCAGACCAGGCAATCTTTAGTATTTACATGTGCAATTCGATATTGAAATGCAGTCACAAATCACAAATCCTACATACATCAAACTCTTATTTCACATGTTCTGGAAATGTCATTTAGTGGGGATGACATGGGTGCTTTACGAACTCTTCAAACATTTTTTAAAGTAAAAGACACTGAAAGAAGCAGCCATAGAATGACAAATAAGTCCCGTTCACTGCACTTCAATCGACAGCAATACTCGTGCATACGATTCCGTTCTCTTGGCGCTATACGCTACACTATTGTCGGTATAGGTTTATTTATATAACAAACTACAGTTTGCAGTACGTGAGCTTTGTGTATAGTTTTCGGCTGTGGACTACAGAAATCAGTTACCAGGGTCAATGAGGTACAGTGTTTATACAGCTGATGGATAACGCAAGCAGAAACGGACTATAGAAATAGATTTACGTTTGCGCTCGTTTGTTCAACGGTTCTGCATAGAAAACAGTGTAGCTTGGAGTAAATAACGACATTGTGTTTTGTTATGTGAAAGCTCATATCTGCATCAATTGGCGCGAATTCACAATACACATTGTCAACAGACTTAAGCAAAGAACTGCGCATACATGTGTATTGGCCTCACAGCGTGCCAGCGTACCTCAGTCCCATGCGGCTGGGTCGGTCGGTCGGTCGGTCGGTTGCATATTGGAACGTGATCCACGTGCACGGGAATGGTATGGTGAGACAGCTATAGCGGGGTCGTCCGAGAGCCGCGTGTGGGGTGCTTCAGTCAAAACATGACCTACATCCCGCCCGAAGTGTTGCCTCCTTCATAAATGCTGTTCAGACTGTGGGATTTACGGTAGGTTTGTGATTGAAAGTTTGATATCGCTGAACTCTCCGATTAATGTACTATCTTTTAAAAGTACTTGTCATAATTTTCTTACTACAACAGACAGGTTCACTTCATGTTTCGACGATAGCCATTTCTATAGTCTGTTTCATTATGGATTTTCTTCACGCTGTTTTCAGTAGTCTCTGCTAGCAGAAAGCACGCATTTTGTACGTTTGTGATTTAATATCGCTGAACTCTCCGTTTAATTTACTGGTACTTGTCATAATTGTATTACCGCAACTTCCAAGTACAGTAACCGACTGGTTATATGTTAACTTCATGTTTCGATAGCAGCGATTTCTATAGTCTGTTTCATTATGGATTTTCTTCACGCTGTTTTCAGTAGTCTCTGCCAGCAGAAAGCACGCATTTTGTACGTTTGTGATTGAAAGTTTAATATCGCTGAACTCTCCGTTTAATTTACTGGTACTTGTCTTAATTGTATTACCACAATTTCAAATAATAACAGACCATTTATATGTTCACTTCGTTTCAATAGTAGCGACTTCTAGTCTGTTTCTGTATAGATTCTCTTCACGCTGTTTGTAATACATTCTGCCAGTGGAAAGTGCACAGTTTCCCGTACTTGTACACTAGATCCATTCAGTTGCTCCCTGTCTAAAAGGATCGTTGTACAACATGTTTGGTATTCTTCTTATAAAATGCCTTATTTTCCTTGGAACGGATTTCCGCACTATCAA